CAACATGACAAAAGGACAAGTTTTGCAGCTTCCCCCATAGACACGGCGAGGCCACAGGAAAACCAGAGACTCGAGACGAGACAGGTGGGAGCACCAAAACGACCATTTCGTGCGAGACTTCCTCCAATTTGACACTTTGCAGCTTCAAAATCGACGTTTTCCTACGAGTTTTCCTTAGAACCTGAAAATTTGTAACATCAAAATCGATGTTTCGTGCGAGGCTTCCGTCAATTTTCAGCACATGTGAGAAAATGCCACGCCTGCCACGGAATTTGCACCTTGTCGCCACTTGACGCAGCCCTGCCAATGCGATTTACAAAAAACACGCAAAAGGACACGTCTAAAGTGCTGCGCCTGCCACGAAAAATGACGATGGACACGCCCAAAGTGCTGCGCCTGCCACGAAAACTGCAACACATCTTCTGAAAACGTCGCAAAAGTATTGTGCCTGCCATGCGAAACGACTTTCGACACGTTGCAGAACACGTCTGAATGTCATGAAGTGCCACGCCTGCCACGCGAAACGAAGCAACCAGACGTCTGAAACCTCCAAAAAGGACCACCTCTGCAAAACTTCCCATAGGCACGGCCATACGGAGTTCGCGCGAACGGTTGCGAACGGTTGCGAACGGTTGCGGACGGTTGCGGACGGTTGCGAACGGTTGCGGACGCGGACGCAACGTCGAGCGAACACACTCCAACCCCCAGACCCCCAGAGTGAAACGGGAACCCTTGCTACGCATTCGGGAAAAGTTTCGACCCATGGAGAGGGTCTGAGGGGAAGCTGGACAGGTGACACGGGGTGATTTTTTGATTTTTTCCATTGGTTTTGGACCAGTTTTTTCCTCTTTCAGAATTTGGATTGTTTGTATGAGAGTTTGGGATAGATCCAAGCTCCAGGAATGGAAGCAGATCAGCAGACATGATGATTTTAAGCAGACAGTGCAAAACATGCGCGTTTCTACAATGTGCCCCCATGATCCTCCCGTCTGATATAATATAATATACGTAATTTAATATAATATAATATAATTCAATATATATATAATATAAAATAATATGTAGATATATACATATATGATTGCGTCGTGAAATGCAAGGGGGTTGGATATCTATTGTGGTTCAGTTCTTTCCTTTTGATATATTGGTTTCATGGTTTTTGTGAGTCATTCCAGGTTTGCTTCGCTACTTTAATGGTGGACAGCCTGACTGCCTGAAGGAGCAAAAGACCTCCCACCATCTTCGGCCATTTACACACAGAAAACAATAGAAAACAAGGGTGTGAAAACCATTTCAATCAGAGACAAACTTTACTTCGAGCACATAGTCCCATAAACAATCATAAACAACCATAAATAAACAAGAGGGTTTGTCATCATTCTATCGGCATTGCTAGACATATTTCGATAAGTCGTCGTTTTGCGCTGCATAGTGGCATTGGAAGCGGTGACAATGCCCGCGGCTTTGCATGCTCGCGATCGCACAAGCGAATGCCACGAGCTAATTCGGTACCCAGGCGCAGCAGAAGCAGATGTCAACTGCTGTGTGGGTAGGCTGATATGGCCTGATGCCTGTTTAGACTAAACAGCGCTGCTTGACAGGCTCGACAAGTAAGAATGAAATAATGCCAAAGAGTGAGGGGCCAAAAGAATTTCCACGTGGTACACGTGTTCTTTGTCTTGAGGCAAGTGGCACATAGATTTACATCCTAGCTGTTTGCATTGTATATGCACCTTGTATGTATGTAATTGTCATATAGAATTACGTACATACTTATATATTACTGTTATATGATATGAATTTATTGTTTGTTCGTTGCCGTTTTGATAGGAAGGGGGCAAGTTTGAAGACATGGAATGACCTTGGTAGATTGTTTCTATTTTTTTCACATATCAACACATATCAATTTAATTGTCAATACAGCGGATCTATTCATTAATACGTACTGACTTTGGTTTGATCTCAAAGTATTTCTCACAGGGGCTGTTGATGATCTAGCGGGTCGCAACACACTCAAAGCAGGAGACAAGGCCAACTCCACACAATTATGAAAGGGTGAATATCTGTTGGACTAGGTACCATTTCTTCAAAAGCAGCCATGCAAGGTTTAAGTGGAAAGTACAGACTGCCTCAGCCAAGGATCACTTGCCGTTTTGGATCCATTTGGGTCCTTATGGCTGTTCAAATCTGTTCAATATAACCAGCGTTGAGACATGTTGAAACCGTGATATTGGTGTGATTTCTCGTCCTTGGCTGCGCCGTCTGACGGCTCAGTTGACTCTGATTTCCAGAGGAGTTCAAATGAGCTCGCCTTGTGCATCCGCCTGACACAAGAAAAGCCGTTTGGCTGTGGATTTGCAAATTGCTAATTACAATATATTACAATGAAGATCAATGAAGCTTGGCACAGCAGCAAGAAGAAGCACCATGGAACACCAAGCACCTGCACGTAGGGCAGTTCGGAAGGGTTGAAGCTATCTACTACTGTCTACTACTAACTACTACTATCTACTATCTATACTACAGTAGGGGAGGCTAAATGAGGCTCATTTCTGCGTGATGCCCCCGCTGCACGCACCTGATCTGGATCGATTTGGAATATGTCTGCTGTAATGTAATATGTTCTGAGATGTTTTCAGGCAATGCACACTGCATGCACAGTGCCAAGCAATGGCCTTGACTGCTTTGACCGACTCCACTGCAAGCAGCATTCGGAGATGGTTTTCGTGTGACAATGTGTGACATTTGATTCCTGCTTTGCGAAATAAGAGCGAATCTTTTTCACGCAATTCATTCATTCAACATTTCTGCATGAGACTACGGCAACAGTCTTTACCCTGCAGCAATTCTTGTCATTTCGCGACATTGAAGAGTGAAGTTGCATTGATGAGGTAACCTGCCTCGCATAATTTCTGTAGAAATGAAAGGAGGCTAGGGACCATTGCAGCACCGAAATCGAACATAAGGTCTCTGCGGCAAGACCAAATATATCCAGCTCTTGCAAAGTTATATTTATATTCTACCGCTACAATCATAGCCCATTTCATGGTGAAAGCAACGAGCCAAGTTAATGATATTGATGTTGTCTTCAGATGTTTTAAAGCATTAAGTGAGCAGCCTATGGCAGCCCCTGCGTCGCTTCAAACGCTTTGTTTGCAGTTCGTATGTCCTGAGGTGGCAGACGAGGTGCCACACCTGTTGGAGGCTCCAAAGGGAGAGGAAGCTGACATGTTGAAGCGAAACGTTCATGGAGTTTTATCGAGTTTCATCGAGTTGAACAGGTTTTATATAAATGTGTTAGTCATGAATGGATATATGTGAAGTCGTGCCCCGTGTAACTTTTTGGCGTTGGCACCACTTCAGTCCTGGAGTTTTAGAGCTTCCTGGGTTCTTGAAGGTTTTCACACTCCAACGTTCGCTTCGTGTTTCGGCATGTTTATTGACTGTTGCTCTTGAAGATTCAGAAGGTTTGATTATCAGGCTTTCGCCAAAACACACATCTGACGATGTCCGGTATCCTGAGTCAATCTTAAAACATGTCACTGTACTAGTGAAAAGACATGAACAAGATTGTACAGTTCAAACCCCCACAAGAGATCGAGGCTGCGGCTGCTGGTTTGGCTCCTTCAGAGCCATTGATTGTCAGAGTGAGGCATGACCTGTCATGACCTGTCCACCTTCAGTCCACCTTCAAGAAAATTCAAGTGATCTAAAAGTCTAAAAGGTTAAGCTTTCTTCCTATTTCTTCCTTACTGATTTCTATTTGTTCCTGTCCAGTAGTTGAGCTTGAAAAGAGAGAGAGAGAGTTTCCTTGGAATGCTGGTTCTTGTAAAGATTTCAATTAGAAGCAAGTTCAGTCCTATTGAGATCTATTGAGTCGTCAATATATTGAGTCGTCAATACATCGAGGTATCATGTTGTAAGGGTTCCTTGTTGTTTGTGATGTTCTTTGATTTTTGTTGCTGGAAGATGGTGTGGAAGTTTCAGATCTCATGCATCACAGCTCTTTGTGTGCCGATTGGTCGGAAATCATACGCACAAAGCCCTGTAGCATGGAGAAGCAAAGTCAGACTAGACTTTCCCTCAGTATCGTATGAGTACAGCCCGAATGCTATATAAGAGTCGGAAAGGTTGCAGTCCAGGGTTTCTCAAATTGTTAATTTCAATCGTCAAAGAAATTGGGGATATGTATATAGATAGAGTCAGGGTCCCTCGATTTTTGTTTGTAACTTTCTCAATTTAGTATTGGATGCATTGCCAAGCTGAGTTTGAAGAGAAGAAGCACCGAACCTACATACTCAGAATATGCCCTACATGACATAATCATCATACAACTATCATAACTTGGGAATTTAGTCGCTCTACCGGAGGGTGCCTCAAATTAGAGCTGAGCCCCTCAAATCATCCCAGTACTTTCTCATACAGTTTTTTTACAGCACTTTCGTATGCAGTACTTGCGCTGCAACTCTCTTACTGGTATTATTTCTTTGTTTTGACTACAATGTTTAGTCAAAACAAAGAAATAGAACCAGTAAGAGACAAACCTCCTGCGAGAACATTGAGCACGTTCGATTTCTTTTTCAGAAGCTTTTCCAACAAGCTGTGATCCACAACATCATGCCTAGGCTTGAAGCCAGGAGTATCAGTATGTATATAATTGCTTATTATGAATATATTCTTTAGTCATAGTTCGTTGAAAGATCATGAAGATTCAAACTACCAAAATACTTTAGGCTGTTTTGTAGCGAGTTGTTTCGGAGGTTGATCCCAGTACTTGTTTGCAGAGAAACAGTGCTGCGATTTAAAAAAAAGAAAAAGGGTTATTGTGTATCTTAGCATGTAATTGCCTTCAGGTCAGCGGCATGTTTCCATCATTGCAGCAAGAGATCTTTTCACAGACCCTGGGCTCAGGGGGGCACTTTGCGGTGCAAAATAGGAGCTCAACTGCTCGTGTCCATTTGCTCTCTGGTGCCACTCTACAGTGGTAGCCGGAGCCTGCCATGACCCAGACCGGCGCTGCGGAGTCAGAGGTGGGAAGCGTGGCAAACGCTTCAAGGGATCGAGACCCACCACCTGCCTTTGATGGAAAGAACCCAGATGAGATGAAGAGATACATGCGGGATCTCAGACTGTGGAGGTGGGAGACTGATACTCCCAAGGTGAAGCATGCGGTGAAGATGCTCCGTCAGTTGACGGGTCCAGCTAGGGCTGCTGCGGATGAAGTCTCGGTAGAGACAATCATGACTGAACAAGGGGCAGATGCAATTCTGGCCAAGCTGAAGGAGCACTTTCAGCCGCATCTTGAGGCGGCCATGCCTCGTGCCTTCGAGAGGGCAGTGTATGGAGAGTCACGCAAGGCAAAGGAATCCTTGCAGGAGTATGTGATTCGCTGTGACCAGGCCTTTAAGGAGCTGGCGGACGAGCAGGTAGCCTTGCCAGACGTGGTCAAAGGCTACATCATGTTCAGGCAGTGCAACCTGACACAGACGCAAGAGGACCAGATCACGACTTGGACGCAGGGGAAGTACGACAGAGACCAGATCGTATCAGCCCTGCGGAAGTTAGAGAAGGTTCAGCGAGAGAAGAGTGGGTCCAAGACCTATGTGGTGGACGCGGACGATGAGCACGCGTCTGAAGAGATCTTCACCACGATCCTTGAAGAGGGCGACGAAGAGATTGAGCAGTACGTGCACCTTGCTGAAGGTGACCTGGACCAGATTTATGATGAGGCGGATGTGCATGCTGCCCTTGCCACCTATCAGCAAGTGCGTCGAGCAATCAGAGACCAGAAGAACTCCAGAGGCTTCAAGGGTGGCAAATCCTTTGGAAAGGGCAGCGCTGGACGACCCGGCTTTGGCATGAAGCTTCAGTTTGGGCAGCAGGGAACTCGAGTCCATGTGGAGTCACTGAAGTTGAGAACGAGATGTGCACGGTGCGGAATGATCGGCCATTGGGCCAAAGAGTGTGGCAACCCTCCGGACGAATACTCACGTCGGAGGCAAGACTCGAGCTCAGCGGTGTCGTCGAGCGCAAAAGAGAGCATCATGAGCGGCAAGTCAGGTTTTGTGCATGTAGGTAGTGAAGGGTCCACTATGCTTTGCATGAACTCCAGTTTTGTTCTTCCCCCTCTTTGTGATCCACCTCCTCTTCAGAGCTCTATCAGTTCCAGTTTGTCATCAAGTGCACTCGATGTCTCCAAGCATGTTGAAACTCCATGTATTCTTTTGGGAAAGAATGTTGGATCGTTTGCAGAGAACATGCAGTTTTGCGGAATCACGACACATGGTGCGTTTGGACTTGTGGACACTGCTGCACAATCTGGACTAGTTGGAGTTGGAGCTTTGAATCGTTTGAAAGATGCTTTGAAAGATCATGGTTTGAAGGTGAGGTGGACTTCAAAAGTTGGTCAGGCAAGAGGTGTAGGAGGAGAGGCCAAATGCAAAGGAGTGGTTGAGATCCCAATGGGTGTAGGTGGAGTTTGTGGGGTACTTGAAGCGACGGTTGTAGAAGACGATGTGCCTTTATTACTTCCTGTCAAACTTCTCAAGGACTTGAAAGCCATCATCGATTTTTCACAAGATCAGTTGTTTTTGAAGAAGTTTGGAGTGGGTTCTATGCTGAGCACTTTACCATCAGGGCATGTGGCAGTTTCCATTGTTGATTTTGGAAGAGATGGATGGCAGCTTCCCATTGAAGCGAAAGCCAAGGGCCTTGTGGATTGCGAATTTCGTTTGTTCACTTCCGAAGCTATGAACAACTCAGTTCTGATCTCCCACGAGCTCCCGTCTTTGTGTCCTTTTGTGGCTATTGCCAGCCATGAACTTGCTTGCGCGGCTGGTGAAGATGCGCAAGGATCAAGACGAGGAGATGCGTCAGCCCACGGAGTCCGGAGGGGAGGTGAGAAACCCTCGAGCTCTGTTGCTGTGGCGGCGCGTGATGATCAAAATTCGCGAGATCATGCAGATCTTCGAGGGCAACGAGCATCCCGAGCTGGTAGCCTTGCCAGAAGATGGCTTTTCTTCTGGTTACTTGCTGCCACTCAGTGCGCAGGCACCGACAGTGCCAGCGTTGCCGACCTTTCCAGGGCATTCCACCAAGCAAGAGCAGATGGCCCAGCAAATCAAGACAGGCATCCCATTGCCTCCACGCAAGAGTCAGCAATTGCCACGAGTCTCCGTGGCGGCATGCGCACACCCCACCAAGAGTCTATGTGGTGGGGGCAACCAGCATCAGAAGGAGGTGTGGTGCACCGATTGCCATGCCAGATGGAAGGTGGAAACTACGGTGCGAAGCGTTGGGGCGACGGGCAAAGCTGCTGTCAAGGCATCTCCTCTCACCACTCCGACGTCTTTGAGAACGTCACTGGGGAGCCCTACGTTGTCCCCTCCGACGAGCTCTATGGCGACTCCAGCAAGCCCTCCGGCAACTCCCAAGATGATGCCGGTGGGAATGCGATGCAAGTGCAACGCTCCTGCGGAGCGAATGACAGTCAAGAAGGAGGGTGCAACGAAAGGCAGACACTTCTTCAAGTGTCACCAGAGGATCTGCGATTACTTTCAGTGGGACCCGGAGGAGGTTCGAGCTCTGCAAGAGGCAATGGCATCCAAGAGTCAGAAAAGGGAACCAGAAGTCAGTCCAGAAGTTTGTCGACTGCGGGAGGAGCTGGAGATGGAGAAGCGCAAGATGACAGAAGAGCGTCTATCAATGGCGCAGGCACAACAGGTCAAAGAGCAGGAGACTGCAAACCAATTCGAGATGATGATGAGCCAAGCCAACCAGCGACACCAGGAGATGATCGAAGAGACGCAGCGCAGAAACGAGAACCTGCTGCAAGAATCCAACCAGCAGCATCAGCAGCTCCTGGACGTGAACGACATGGCCTATCGCACTCATGTTCAGCAACTTCAGCATCAACTGTGCTGGTTGACAACTCTGGTGGGCGAGGAGAGAATTCAGGAGGTCATGAACGACCCCCAGAAATATGCCGAGGCCTCAGCACAGGCACAGCTGCTGAGGGAGAACATGAACTCAGCCAACCAAGGGCCCCAGTGAGCAGAGAAGTCTTGGGCAAAGATTTGTCTCATCAGGATATGAGCCAGTTGGAAGAGAATGCCCCCTGGGTTTGCCAGGTAGTTGGAAGAGAGGCGCGAGACATTGCAAGGAGGATCCAGCTGGAGGATAGAGACAAACCAGAGAGCGAGCAAAGAATTCACATGCATTTTTGGCTGCAGATTGGAGATATCTGGAAGTTTCACCACGGCATTTTGCCTTGGGACTGCGAAGACAGTCCTATCGCTGTCTCTTTGATGACACAGCTTCCAGAGGAGAATTTTCTAGATGAAGTGGACGCTTGCTTGAACAGAGGATGTAGAAAACGTTTGAGGAGAGAGATTGACAAGCTGGTGGTTTCAGAACTCTACTCTCAGCCTCGCGTCGCAGTGAAGGCCACACAAGAAGGCCTGCAAGCTGGCACTTCATTTGATCTTCTCACAGGATATGATCTGTCCAAACGGGCGGATAGGCTGCGGTGTTGGAAGAAACTGCAACAGGAGAGCCCCGATTTGATTGTCATTTGCCCTCCATGTTGTCCATTTTCGCCTTTGCAGAATCTCAATTTTGGAAGAATGGATCCCCAGCGAGCCATAGCCATTGTCGCTGAGGGAGTTCAACATCTTGAGTTTGCGATGGAAGTGTATCAGTGGCAAGTGTCACGAGGCAAACTGGCTTTGTTTGAACACCCAGCACCATCAAGAGCCTGGGAAGAGAAATGTGTTCAAAAGGTACTCTCCATTCCTGGGGTGTTTCGCGTCAGAGCTGATCAATGCGAGTTTGGGTTGAGAACACGTCCTGAGGAGGGCTTTCACAAGAAAGCCACAGATTTCATGGTGAACAGCCAATCGATGGCAGACTGCTTGTCTATAAGGTGTCAAGGAGGACATCGACATCAGCAGTTGATGGGAGGCAGAGCCAAAGCCGCAGAGAAGTATCCACCAGCACTATGCAAAGCCATGATAGAGGGACTGAAGAAGGAATGGGCACAGAATCATCAACAAGTTTTTGTAGGCGTTTTGGAAGTTTTTCCAGAAGATGGTGATGTGGAAGAGGATTTGGAAAGAGAGTTTGAAAAGGAGGCAAAGTTTGAGGATGGCATTGGAAAGGGTGTTCCAGCTCCAGATGATGGAGCAGACAGCGAGCATGAGGAGGGAGTGAATATCCCCCGAGGTGTGTCTCGAACGGACAAGGCACTCATCAAGAAACTTCACATCAACCTTGGCCATCCCAGTCGGGATGATTTTGCACGTGCTCTCCGCATGAGTAGAGCCAGAGAAGAGGTTTGGAAGTTTGTGAAGAATGAATTTAGATGCGATGTTTGCGAGTCCAAAGTCCTCTCCAAACCTGCCAGACCCTCAGTTATTCCACAGCACCATGAAACCTGCAAAACTGTTGGAGTCGATGTGGTCTTCATGCCAACTCATGACCCCAATCGAAATCTTCCTGTGCTCAACGTGGTGGATTGGGCCTCATGTTACCAAACTTTAGAACCTTTGGAAAACACATCTTCAAAGGCAGTGTGGTTAGCATTCCAGCGGTCATGGTGCAGAACCTTTGGTAGTCCACAAATTTTGGTGATAGACCAGGGCACGGAGTTTCAAAAGGACTTCACTGAGAGGGCAAGTCAAGCAGGTTCACTTATCAGAACCATTGGCGCTAGAGCTCCGTGGCAACAGGGGAGGACAGAACGATATGGTGGGATCGCCAAAGGTGTTTTGGAGAAGGTTTTGCAACAAGTAGGCCCCACAGATCTGGAGGAGTGGAAGATGTGCATTTATGCAGTAGAACAGGCGAAGAATCGGCTGTTCAACAAGAGCGGATTTTCGCCTGCCCAGCGTCAGCTGGGAGCCAACATAAGAATGCCAGGCTCTCTCTCCAGTGAGGACCAATATGACATGGCCTTGATGCGAGGTTCAGCATCTCAGGAAATGCAGAGAACGCTGGAAATCAAGGAGGCGGCCATGGAAGCCTTCATTCGTCACACCACCACTGAGTCCATCAGAAGAGCTGCAAAAGCGCGCACGAGGCCTAGACAAGACTTCAAGCAAGGTGATGTAGTGTTTGTCTTCAGGAAACCTCTCCCCAGAAAGGGCTTTCAGGTGAACAGAGAAGGACGCAAAGCCACATGGGTAGGACCGGGCACAGTGATCATGCCTGAAGGTCCGAACGTGTGGGTGTCTATGAGAGGAGAGTTGTGGAAATGCGCACGAGAGCAGGTGCGATCAGCAACTCCTGAGGAGGATGCAGCTTATGGTCTTTTACGAGATGAACTAGAAGAGCTTCAGCAAGAGATCAGCCGGAAGGCAAGCAAGAGAGGATTCAAAGACATCACGCAGTGGGATGTTCCAGGAGAAGCTGAGGAGGATCCCATGGAAGGTCCAAGCCTTGAACCACCTGAGCGAAGGCAGAGGGTTGATTTAGGAGGCGGAGGTGGGGGCGGTGGCGAATCGAGCTCGTCATCAACCAGCTCCACCTCATCCAGCTCAGATGCTCAGAGTGAGCCCGGACAGCCTGAGATGGGCAAGTCCGAGGCTGCCAACGGTCCCATGGAGGCTAGCCACCCGGAAGGAGGGGGGCTCGGGCACCATGGTGGGGAAGACCCCGGGCAGGCAGGGGGCGACATGGGGCATCAAGGTGAGAAGGTGCCCAATGCTCCTAGTGCCAGCTCGACCGAAGCTCAGACAAGAGAGGGCCAAAATCCACCTCTTAGAGCAACTGGTGCAGTGCCACGATTGAGTGAACCTCGAAGAAGCGATCAGAACTATGGACCTGTGAGAGCGCCAGCACATCCACCAAGACTCAGACCCTACAACACCACTATGTGGACAGTCAGCACTGCGGAGGAAGTGGAGGAGGAGCATGTTGGGCAACAAGAGGATTTTTGGGAGTTCTTGCCTGAGGAAAGAATTCTGGTGCGACATCATGTGGTCGCAAGACGTGGCTCCTTCAGACCAAAGAGCTCAAAGGGATGCCCTATCAATACTCGAAATTTGGAACCAAGTGCTTGGAGTTTTCAGCAGTTTGAAAGTGGAGAAGTTAGAAGTCAAAAGAGCTGGTGGAGAAGTCAGCGAGACAGTCAGGGTCCACAGCGTTTTTGGACTGGATTCACTCAGTTCAAGTTGAAAGCCAAGGTGAAAGCAGAAGAGGTGAATACCACTATGGTAGCTTCAAAGTCATCTGATGAGGTCTTTGAAAAGGACATCAAACCAGAGGAGTGGCCCGGATGGCAAGTGGCTGATGGAGAAGAGTGGAACAAAGTTGCAAGCACCAATGCTGTCAAGGCATTGAGCGTTGAGGAGTCTCACGAGGTAGAGAAGCAATTGAAAGAAGCCGGAAGATCCCAGCGCATCATGCCATCACGAATGGTAAGGAGGTGGAAGCCAGCTGAACTTCCTGGAGAACCTCCCAGCCGCAAGAGCCGCTGGTGCGTGCGGGGAGACAAGGATCCAGATCTCATGATGTTGGAAAGGTATGCGCCCACGGCAACAACGGCAGTGATTTCGATTGCCATGCAGACTGCAGCATCCATGAATTTTCGAGGTGCAGTTGGCGATTTGAAGAACGCCTTCATGCAGTCGGACAGGCTGTGCCGACCAGAAGGTCGCATTTTCTGTCGTCAACCTCGTGGTGGACTGCCAGGCCTGAATCCAGCACAGCTGATAGAGATACTGGCAGGGGCATATGGACTGGGCGATGCTCCAGCTCATTGGCGGAGGTCTCTGAGAAAGGTGCTGCTAGAGCTGGGTTACGTGCAATCGAGCATGGACCCATGCCTCTTTAAGCTCATGAAAAACGGTGCTCTGGCTGGGCTTCTGATTGTGGAGGTGGATGACATCCTTTCTTTTGGAGATGCGTATCATTATCAACTCATGGAGAAGTTGCAAGAAAGGTTTAAGTTTGGCAAGTTCAAGTATATAGACCAAGAACCGGAAGGTGTGGGCTTCAATGGAAGGCGCATCAGGTTGAAGAACAACAACTACCTCATTGACATGCAGAAGTTCATTGAGGAAAGACTCCATGAAGTTCCTTTGGCTGTAGGAAGAGCGAAAGAAAAAGATAGTGATGCGACAGAAGAAGAAAGGTCTTCCACCAGAGCGAGCATAGGAGCTTTGACATGGGCAGCAAAAGAAGGGAGACCGGACTGTGCAGCCACAGCTAGCATCATAGCGAGCTGTCTCAACAAACTCAAAGTGCAGGATGTTTTGGATTTGAATAGAGCAATCAGAGAAGCGAAGAAAGATGCCAATTTGTGCTTGAAAATCCAACCCATTCCCATTCAGCGTCTTCACTGGGGAGTCATCACCGACGCATCGTATGCGAACACAGAGGGAAGCGCATCTCAGGGAGCTTTTGGAATTGTGAGTTTTGATGAAGATTTGTTGAAGTGCGGAAGAGGGGCAACCAATTTGATTTATTGGAGGTCTGGACGCATTCACAGGATAGTCAATTCAACTCTGGCAGCAGAAACTCAGTCCCTTTCACGAGGGTTGTCGGAGCTGGCATGGACCATCACCGTGTTCAACGATCTCACGACTCCAAACTTTGATTTGCGTGAATGGCAGCAAGCTGCAAGATCTCAACGTTTGCATGCGCTAGTGAAAGACAATACTGAAGAAGACTTGAAGAAGAGTTTGTGTGTGGTGGACGCAAAGTCATTGTTCGACCACCTGGCGAAAGACACCATCGGAGTCACGGAAGACAAGCGAACGGCGATTGAAATGCAGGTGATCCGCCAGTCGATGTGTGAGACCGGCGCGGCAATTCGTTGGGTGCCTCATCCGAAGATGGTAATGGATGCACTCACTAAACGTCTAGGAAACCAAGTACCCCTCAAAGAGATGTTGGGAAGCGGAATCCTGGAGCTGACTGACACTGAAGGCAAAAGAAATTTGGACCCATCTGTGTATCTTAGCATGTAATTGCCTTCAGGTCAGCGGCATGTTTCCATCATTGCAGCAAGAGATCTTTTCACAGACCCTGGGCTCAGGGGGCACTTTGCGGTGCAAAATAGGAGCTCAACTGCTCGTGTCCATTTGCTCTCTGGTGCCACTCTACAGTTATCAAAATGTAGGCGAGGTGTCCACTGATTCGCTAGGGACCCTTTGACTTGGATGACTTGGGATGAACTTGATTACTCCCCCTCTACACGATGCGCACTTGTGCACCCCAACTTGTTGTTTTCTACATTTGGGCAAAAAATAGTACGAGTGCATGGTGGTTAGAAAATGCCTCCCCAAAGAAATCTGGAAATACGTTCCTTGGCCTTTGAGGGTGTTTTGCGGATGTTTGCAAGTTTGGGGTTGTTTTTTGTATTTTCTGATTCCGAGGTTTTGGAGCGCATTTTACAGAACACATGAATAAACGGCCCAAGATTGCACAGTTGCACACTTTTATGCACTCAACTCCATAGCAGTCTGGCAGAATGTGTCATTCTGTTTTGATTATATCACATCCACAATTGCCCCCAGTTAGTTTCAAACAAAAAACCCGACCACAGCTGGTAAACAAACAATGTGATATGTTCTTGCGAATGAAGATCCCGGTGTATAATATATGTGCGTGTCTATGGTGTTTGTTGATTTTGTATATTGACATATTGTAACATATCATAATAGTATACTTTATTAGTACATACTAGTGATAATGCATTGCTATATATTATTATTATATCATGTAATATAACATGATATGCTGTTTAACATGTCATAACATATCAGAATATTTGATAATATATATGATATTATCTGATATTATCATATATTCATCCGCGTTTCAACTTCATGAATGACAGCCTCCACGATGCCAGTGCCTGCCGCGTGTTCTGCCGCTTCCTCACCGCTACTGCCAATGAGCAGCTGCGCGAGGTGCCGGAGATTGCAGAGGAAACTGGCAAGCCATAGCAAACTGATAGAAAGAATATGAAAGATTTATATAGAATTGATAGAATTGCCAATCCAAATTACTAGAATCACTCGCAGATGAATTCAATGTATTTCAAAGTCCGTCAAAAATCTAATTTTCTTCGCATGGTTTGCTTATTTGTTGACACTTTGTTGATCAGAGCTGAATGTCAAGACTCAAAGTGCAATTCATAGCTCTCCCGTCAAGTGGGAATGCGCGTCTAGGATCTGCTTCTGAAAAAGGGTGTGTTGGCATCTTTGGGTGCCTTGCTTCGAGATGCAGATGAGGTGAGGCAGTCCGATGCAAGCCAAGATGTTTACATCATGTCAGATCATGTTTGTATGCAGTGTTTCATGCCAAAGCCTGCTATGCTGTTGACCGGCCTATGACTTTATATGGAAACTGCACTTCTTTTTCTGCCCAGATTTTGTGGCAACCAACCAACTGTGTAAAAAGTGGTTGTAGAGCTATGGCTTCCTTTCAGGGCAGTTTTTTGATGAACAAAAGATAAAGAAAATGAGAGAAGGTCAATAGAAGGTGACAGGGTTTTATATGGTGTCATTGGGTCTTGATCTTTCCTTTGCATTGCTGGTCCACTTTACACTTTCCTCAAGGAGCTGCTCCACCTTTGTCTGGAGTGCCTGTGCATTATCGTCAAGGTCTGGAACGGATAGCCACACCCCAAGCAGGGCTCTTCAGAAAAACGCCGGCAGGTTCAAGTTTTGTCCAATAAGGGAACATCGCCTTTAGTCTGAAGTCAAAGTCTTTAATTATATACTTTGTTTCGTTTCTTTCTTCAGACACGAATGAAATTGACCGCTACTTTGGACATTGTCAGCCACTAGCGGCACTAGCGCATGCTTGCAGTAGCTTTGTAGTCATTCCGTGGCGCTTGTGTGCAATTCTCTGCCTTCTGTTTTGACCGTGATCCGTGCAGAAATGCCCAAACACAATGGCCGCGGTGGATGGTGACCTTTGCCCCCTCACAGTTCAGGCAGCTACAGATTTTTACTGCTTTGTTCCAGGTCCCATGTCAGCCAAAGTGTCAGGAGTTCGCTGTACTGTACATACTCTCTTGATTTGCTCCTAATGAAGTCTTGAATTATGTTCAAACTGGCAAGTCGAAGGTGACAAGCTCAACTGCATTCGGAGTTGTGTCTGGATTTTCCATACATAGTATTGGAAACTAAGCTTGTTGCGTTGTTGGTTAAATCTCAGACATCATACAGTTAGACAATGTAATATTCATGACATACCGGAACCCGGTATTGTTTGGCTTTTCCCTCTAAAGCATCCTGTCTAGCAAGTTGTTGCAGGAAGAGCATCAATAGCAACATGTCAGATAGATCATAACTGCAGGTTGGACTGGTGGCATGACATCGCAACAGCATGCAATAGCGACATGTAGGAAAGTGGCTATTTACCAAGTGTGTAGGCGTGAGATGACGTGAGTAGACTATAATTTCCGTATATCTAGGCAACAGACCTTCAGGATGTTGCAGCGCGAACAGGTCGCGTTCCATGCCGCGCATCCACGAGCAACTAAAAGCAACTCTATGCATTGATGTGTGCCTTCATGGATCACGTGATTGATATTTCGGCAATGTTCTTTGATTGTTGTTGATTTGGTATCATCCACGGACTAGGCAAATGAAAAGAAGCTGGAAGGAAAAAAAGTTGGTCAATGCCACCAGTGGTTTTGAATGGTTTTGAGGACTTCTGATTCCGCAATGTGTCTACGACAAGTCCAGTGACGGATAACATAGAAAAGTAGTTTCAAAAGAACGAACTAGCTGTAAACCGGCATATATACATGTATCCATTGATCCCTGTCTCTTCCAGTCCACACATACATACGTAATCATACATAATTAGTTATATCACTCTATGATAGACTCTATGACATACGTGGAGGAGGTTGTCCCACGTTTGTTCTATTCTATTTTGTGCCTTTGGTGTGATCTTTATTGCTTGGCTTGTTCAGCTGAGCCTTGCTGTACTTCAGATTTGGCACCGCTGCGCTGCAGATCCAATGGTGCACATGCAGGTGCGGATGCAAACGCAGCATGTGCAGGTGTTTGATTCTTTTGAGATCTTTCAGTGTATGACTGTTTTTATCTGCCTTGATCTGTCTTATTTGTCTTGCATTTGTGATCATTGCACAGAGCACGAAATTGTCAGTTTGCAAGCAACTCCTTTCCCATCCATGTCCAAGTTGATGCAACAACTTCCCGGAGATTGCCATGTTTCTTAATAATATGCGGAAATGTTCTACTTTAGATGTTCCCACAGAGCGGAGGGGCTCCCAGTCTGTGACCAGCTATTGCTTTTATTCACACTGAAAAAGACACAGGTTCTGGACCTAGTCAGCTGCTGCGTCTCCACAGAGAAACGCTTGCAACGCTCCATGGAGGACAGAGTGCATATGTGGATCAAACAGTCAAATTCTGCTCAGATCAAACTCAAATTGAGCGTTTGGTGGCACAAAATGCCAGCGCCATTTTGCAGCAATAGCCGCAAAGATTCGCGAAGTCCCAAAGATTGACAGATTGAGCTTGGGTCTTGAGCCTGCACACTGGAATATGCTGGAATATTTACTCCATAGATGCGGATTGTTTCTCGAAGGCATGTTACAAATTGATCCTGGACTTTGTTGATGATTCCTACACAAGTTACAAGTTGCAACCCCTCTATAAACTCGTTTTTTTAAAGTGATTTGTATGGATTTCAAAGCAGAATTCACATAGCTTTTGCATTTGGCGGCTGGGATTTGCTTTGCACCTGAGCATCATATGTACGTACATATATCTACTAGGTTCAACTAAAGTAGTAGTAGAGAAAGAGAGAGAGAGAGAGAAAAAAAAAATGATATATTTGCTCTTTCATAAGCTTCACGACCACCAGTCAGTTTGCCTCCAGAGTCTGTTCGATGTTCTTTAAGTGTTGAGTTAGATTTGCCCAGTGCATCTGATAGCTGAGAACCTTATCTCTGCGAACAAAAACTAGATCAAATGTGTTTTTGACTGTTGGCCTGCCTTGGCAGGAGTGCTTGCTGCCAGTTGTGCATGCTGATTTACAGCACCTTTCTCGGCAGTGCATGAGGGAAGGGAGTCACCCGTAGCATACACTGGAATCACAGCAGAGTGCTAGTGGAGGCGAGAAACCGCAGGCCAACTCTATGTCTATTGTATCCATATGATTATACATAGCATTATATAAGTATGTGTGTACATGTATAGTTGCGCACATCTGCTACTACATAGGCTTGGAATAGGCTTGGACTGTCTGTATTTTGCAGGAGAAAGGATGAAATTCGCAACAGGAGTCAAACATCCAGCACTACACACAGGTTTCAGCTGGTGACAAGTTATGTCAATAGTTGCCTCTGATTGATGTTATATTTCCTGGAAGTCCATAGCAAAATTGAGAAGGTATGATCGGTATGATGTGAATTTCATGTGTTTGATGTGCTTGATGTGTTTGAAGTTGGAGTAACCGGGTAGCCGGGCTGCAAGGTCAACAGATGCACACCTTGCCTCTTCCGCCATGGAGCTTTTCGGGGTGACCTTGTCGGATTCCTTCGCCCGATTGGTTGCTGACATTGCCTGAGATGGTTCCGGAAGGTTCCGGAATGTTCCAGATGTGATTATGCGATTGGTTATAATATGTTTTAAGATGTTATAATTAGTTTATGCGTGTTTATATATTCATTTATTGAGAGGTGTTTCTATGGCATCTTTCGTGCTGTTGGAGCTGGACTCCGAGCTGGCCTTTTGCTGGGGCCAGAAGTTGGATTCTACCTGGAAATAGACAGAAGCTACGTATGACTCTGCAACCAGGTCTTGATGTTTTGAGTCTCGTGTAAAGACTTCTTATCCAAGCAGGCTATGCATAATATTTGACATATTGGTTTAGAATACCAAAATATGTCAGGAGACCAATTTGGAAAGTGCAAATGCAGCGCGGTCCAGTGGCCGACAGCCGCAACCAAACTCAAGTTCCGCCGAACAGCTCAAATGAAAACTATTTGAAATTCTGTTTGTCCGCTCATAGAAATGTGTTGTACTGTGTTGTCCCCTCCATTTGTTGCAGTTGCAGCTTGGTAACCAGAACTTCCAGAGCACAGCGAGCACAGGTACTGTTGAAGCATAGCGATGTGCCCTTTGCAGAGGCGATCTTAAGCTGTGCCCGCCTTCTACTTGCCAAGGCGCTGCTAGATCCCATCAGACTTGTTTTGATGATTTTGACGTGACACATTGTGACACAATGTGGTCAATCCCGAGAAAAACGTTGCCACATGGAAAGCCACCAGGCCTCGGGTCATCTCGTGTCATCCAAAGGCTTCCAGCATTTTCCAGCATCTTCCAGCATTCTCATGTATTCATATGTATTCAATAAACTTTTAATTAATTCTATATATTCTCATGATTGAGAGGACCACATGTCCACGTCCACTCATAGGATCACTTTGAACCACACAAGCAATAATCCCAAGTTGCTTACCCCTTGAATCCCGGCTGTTGCTTACTTTTGTTCAAGTTTGGTCGACTACTCAGCCTGTTTTGACCCTCTCTATCTCATAGAAAGGGAAACGAGACAGCTCTTCATGGTTATTGACCTGCCCGTTTCGCTGCATTCCTTCAGTTTGCAATTTTCTTGTACAGTTGGATCAAACGATTTCATGAAGTATATAAGGACGTACAAATGACTTTTATGATCTTTTATGTAATAAGGACGTGTACGTACAAAGTTCCTAAAGCGAAAAGTGAATCGAACGAAATCACACACCTATTGTTGGTTCGAAAGCAATTGTACCCAGCACATGGCGCGACAGCATGTTTGCACGCGCACGAGCAAGCACTTTCCAGCTTTGTTTTCAGATGTGTGATTTCATGTGTATGTCGTTCACTTCTTTCGAGAAAGCGAGCACTTTCGCCATGCCGCAAGAAGACATGTTTGAGTGGCTGTCCAATGAATTGGCGCAAGAACGACTGGCACTGGATGCCTGGCTGCAGCAATCCTTCAATATCGTTCAACCGTGTTCAACCCCAGGCCAATGAGATACTTCTAGGTAATCCCATACTGTTGCGCGATGTTCTTAGTAGGTTATGCCATCCTGACCATATTTGACAAGTATGTTTATTATTAATATATCATTTATGTATTGTAGTTATACTAACGTGATTATCCACAAACGAGCAAGTGTTTCAACCTGAGAGTCCTGGCAGTGCACAATCGATTTCTGGTCCGTGCAGATAGACTCGCACAGTCAAACTTCGTCGCTGGAACTGCACCCCCATACGCTTCACAGGAGGTCTTTTGACGATTTACGTACTGGTTTAATTTCAAAAGCTCAATTGAACTTTATTGAACTCATTGAGCTTCCCAGTCATGTTAGGTGTTCTCAATCCCACTTCACGGCAGTGCACAATTTTTGGAAGCGGACCAGATTTTCTGACGTGTGACAGCCCGTATCTATGAGTTTGCCACGTTATTTTCTTTGGTGCATCTTAGTTTGTGCTAGCAAAATGTGCTGGACACATTTCTTTGCACTCAGCTTAGTGTTGGCCACTCACTACTGATGACCTTTTTGGGTTATTCATCTCTTCAAGTATCGTAAGTATCGTCCGCTCTCATCCATATTTTCTGACAGCAATTTGGTTGTAGAAGGAACTGATAGGAGCTGTCAGAATGGACGCCTGAGGAACAGCGCCACTCGAGTCTCTTGAAGGACACTGGGCGCTGACTTTTCTCAGGGACACGGATTTGTCGTGGAGAAAGACATGTGGTGCCATGTGAGCTCACCTGGGCAGGGAAGAAATGTTGCTCAAACACCGTGCCTCAGACAAGGGCCAGTAACCAGCAAACTGGTACATAAACTGGTTCAACGCTTAACAAAGTTTATGCAGAAAGCCAAGGACATACACTTTATGAGAGATTAAGATTGTAAGAGTGCAACGTCAAGGAGCCTTATAGCTGACAGCTTTATGGAAAATCAATTGCAAGCGCATGGATCCACTGTCATGCGTGCGCCAGAGATTTACCATCTTAACTGGTGGATGCTGCATTAGAGACTGTACATATATAAGGTACACCGTTCACTTAGAATATGGAATTGAAATTTTGGCTTCCCAGGGCATCCCCATAATTGAACTTGAAACAGGATACTTAGAATACAGTTGACGTCAAAAAACCTATACTTAGAATATCGTTGGGCCATATAAATTCTTTCACTTTTCCAGACGAATTCGTCATTTTTCCATAGAAATTCTTCACTTTTCTTTATAAATCCTTCAAGTTTCCATACAAATTCTTCACTTTTCCATATTTTTGCCATACAAATTCTTTCATGTTTCCAGACAAATTCATTATTTTTCCATATAAAATCTTCACTTTCCTATAACAATTCTGCACGTTTCCATACAAATTCTTCAGTTTACCATATTTTGCCATACAGATTCTTTTCCATATAAACTATTTTCCCTTTTCAGTCAAATTCTTCACTTTTTCCATATGCGTTTCTTCATTTTCTCTATAAATCCTTCACATTTCCATACAATTTCTTCACTTTTCCAATTTATTTCCGTACAAATTCTTTCATGTTTGCAACCTAGTTTCCCAAAATGGATTGGATCAGCACTTGCCCAATCCAGACCATTTCCCATGGATCTCCACCATTCGTGGGGGGTACCCTTTGCGGTAGGAAAATATGTACTTTTTAGTACACAAAGTGATAAGAAATCGGTCAATTTGGGGACCCTGCCAGTTTTTGATTTTGTCACCAAAACTGCTTGAAAAAAAGCAGAAACAGGCTGCATAGAGATGTACAAAGGCTTCCAGAGCGAAGGCCAAATGGGGAGAGAACAAATGAGCACGAAATGGGGGCATATTCTAAGTGGAGTTGCGTTCGAGTTCAACTGCATAATTGGAAAAACGCATATTCTAAGTGAACGGTGTACCTTATATATATATTATTATATTATATTATGTTATATTATATTATTTTATATTATATTATATTATTTTATTTTATATTATATTATATTATATGATATTATATGATATGATATTATTTTATTTTATATTATATTATATTATTATATATTATATTATAGACTATATGTTATATTATATATATTATGGTATATCTTATATTTTAATATAACATAGTATAGCATTTCATTATATATATTTATCATTACAAAATATTGCAATACATCACAATATATTACAATGTAGTTAATAATCTATTATATTATATTATACTAGATTAGATTAGATTAGATTAGAATATATATATATATTATGCATGTATATTTTATACTGAATAAGATATTGAATGATAACCAGCGGTATATGTTTATATATAATAGCCTATATAACCTGCACTGAAGCCGAACTCACTCCATGTTTCGATGGGCCAAGACTCCACATTGTTGGAGGAGCTCTCCCTGCGTTTGGGTCCAAAAACTCCTAGTGGACCCCTGGGTGCTTTGGAAGTGTTGCAACTGGCAAAGTTCCTCGGCTTCGTTTGGTTTCCCGTCGGAGAAATTGTTTAACCTTGTCGCATCCTGTCGCATCATGGTTTTGAATTTGCTTTGGAGGCGGTACGTATCAGGGTTGAAAGACCTGCTAATGATAGGCAAGCCATTTTTAGCATGCTGGCAACAGATGTCATGCCTTTTGAGCAAGAATAAAATTTATCAATCAAATTGGAGAGAATCTTCTGCAGAACTGAGCCTTTTAAAGACTAGACTCTTCGAGATGAACTTGACAAAGCTGAAGCAGCTGCGGAAGCAGCAACTGAAGCACCTGAGTATCACCAGATCATCACTTCTAGCCAGGCCGCAGCCAGATTGGTCTGTGCGGCCCGAGTCTGTCAGCCCAAAGCAGACCCAAGAGGCCACAAGTGCGGCCAGCAGCAGGTCGAATATCCAAGGGATAGGCGAGGCCGCAATCGACACGCAATTGGTCAATGAGGTGGAGCAGGAGTTGGAGGAGAAGATGTAGTGCATCCGGCAGGGGACTGTTCAGGGGACAGATCTAATGAGAGTCAATGTGAGTATAAGGTTGGAATTGTCGGCATACGGTGAGAGATGCACCCTTTTCATCCCTTTTCAATCATCAAGTTTCCCTTTGGTTGTCGATGAGGAATGTAAACTCATGTAAACTCAGCAGGGTTTTGTTACTTCTCTTGTCACAAGGACCTCAGACCCCAGCGCAACAAAACGCTTTGCAATCATCCGAGAAGCAGTCTTGGATCAAGTGTTTTAGTAGGGCCAGGCTGCCCGGGCACGTGCCAGGTAACGTTTGTGGCTGGAGGATGCTTGGGTGCTGTTTCGAGGATGCAGATACGGCGGGGCCTTCAGTCTGCGAGATTCAGGAGATCTTTATCCCGGCGCAGGCACCTGGAATACCAGCGACGTTGTCACCCAGGGGCATTCTGACTGAAGAAGTTGAGACTTTCACAGTGGCTGTGCCATCGAAGAACTTCGTCACTTTGGGTTTGGAGCTGGAATTGACAAAAGCAAGAGCACCTATGATTTCGAGCATAGAGGAAGGAGCCGTCCAGGAATTCAACAAGGTCTACAAGCATTCTCGCATACAGCCTTTTGATGTCTTGCTGGCCCTTGATGGAACCCATAGCTGGGAAGCCATTCAGGAGAAACTGACAAGCAAATTGCCTGACACGATGTTTCTGACCCTCAACCGCCCCAGAAAGATTCAAGTTGCTGTGGAAAATACTGGCAACATGGGCATTACCCTGGCTTTCTCAGACAAATCTGCTGGAGTAGTAATTCAAGAGCTCCATCCCTCGGGGATGATGGTGGAGTGGAACGCCAAACGCAAGAGCCAGGGTCGTGAGGTCCTTGAGGTGCTGGACCGCATCATTGAATTTGATGGGAAAGCTTACTGCGGCACTGACTTAGCCAATCTCCTTGAGGAGAAAAAACATTGGCGCCTTACAGTGTTGAAGTACCAAGGTGAGACAGGGGATATGCCCGTCTTGGAGGGTCTGAGCCGTCGAAGTTTCGGTCAATAGCTGCAGCTAGGCATTCGCTTTTCCACTCACCCGCCTATTAAGTTTAGCCGCGTGTTCTTTTTAGAAATGCGAATTAAATGCCTGGAATCATTTGAGCACAACACCCACCGTTAGTATGAAACTCCGATTGGAGTGTGCAGGTGCCATCTCTGCAGAGCGGAGGTGTGTGCAGAAATTCGAGTGGATTCCCAGTGTATCCTAGTTTGATCATGATCAGATTTCACCAGTTTCACTGGTTTCGCTTTTAATACAGAAGCGTGAGGCCCAGCATGCCGCAAGGTATCGTTTCGCGACCGTCACTGCACAACTGCAATGATTGTTTGCTTGCTTGTGAGTTTGTGCTGAGTTGAAATTTGCCGGCGACAAAAAAAGACACTTGGCATTGACTTTCACATCATGACAATCCAAATAATTATAATACATATAACATCATATAACTATAACTACAAATATATATATACATATATATATATATACGCTCCATGCCTTCAAGCCCAGTGATCCCAGTGCAAAACGCCAATCTAGTCCAGAGATGTCTAGTCTAGAGATGTCTAGAGTTTAGAGGGCAAGTGGAGCTTCAAGTGGAGTTAAGTTATTGAATTATTCCCTGAAGGCCCATGAGGTGTGGGGAGCTTCAAGACCTTCGGAATTAGACAGTCTCCTGTGGGAAGGCCTTGCACCAACAAAACTTGAGACCGAAGGTGTTCATGGACCATTCATGGAGGTTTGCCTTCGCTTTGCGTAGGAGGACGAAGAAGAAGAAGAAGAAGAAGAGAGGAAGAGACAAAAAATCGCAGCCAAGAAAGAGCAGTCAGAGTTGAGTCTTGGACGTCACAATTTATTTGGAGAATGTGGGCCTGGCGGGTTTGATGTGCACTAGCACATAGACAGCTTGCAGCAAATGTTCGAGCTCTCGATTTTGGGTGTTGCCTCTGGTCTTTGAGAAACATCCTAGCGTCATCACTTGTTCGTCGCAGTCGAACACGGCTTAACAAGTGCTAGCTGGCTCTGATGTCTTGACACCCTTGGCCGCCTGCAGGAAAGAGTTTCAATATATTTGAATCATTTTGAACCTAAGGAGCAATACACTTTCCAGAAAATCCAAAATATCAAAGAATACGGAACAGAGCTTTTGGAAGCCGGTCTGGATCATTACCTCTCCGCTCTTCGAGCCTTGGTGATATTTGGACGATTTTGCACGCTGTGAGCTTCTCAGGGCTAGAAGGCGCTGGTTGATGATCCGTTGATGTTCATTGTGTAATTTGTGTAACATGTTGCATTTTCGACAGTGCCTCACTTTGGACTACTTTGTGGCATTTTTCTAACTTGAGTCTTCTAGGAAATAGACCTTAGTCTCTCCTGTGACTGTTCACTTTCTACTTTCTAAATCTGTCTACCCTAATTCTCTTTCATGAGCAGATTCGATGCTCCTGGCACTGCCTGAACCTTTGACTGTGCAGAATTGCAGAATGAAAAAAGATATCCTCCGCCAGCCTGGCGCAGACTCTCAAACAAAGCTGGCTACATACTGACATATACATCATATACTGACTACATTGTGCAATAGCTAGCTCATACGGCTCTTACGGATCTGTGTGATGATGTTCAGTTGCGGCAGTCTCAGACAGTCTGACACACTGGTGGTGTTCAGCAGCAGCAAATTTCGAGATTCGCGAAACTTTGACAAACTTTGTAGCCTTTTTGTTGCGCGGCGCCTATTGTTTGAACGCCTGGATAAGAAAAAGATAGAAAAGGTAAACTCTCAGGGACTCACGTTGTTTCATGTTGTTTCATTTTTGCCATCGTTTCTTTTTTGTCGGCAACCTTGAGGAGTTGGGTTATGCCCTGTGTATTATGCTCCATGCGGTTGCACAGCTGCAAATTGTGGAATGATAAATGCTGTGATAGGACTTGGCATTTTTTTTGTCTTGTCCCAGCAGGTTTTGTTTCTGGACAGATTTTGCAATTGGATGCAATTGGCCAATTTCAAAATCTGGCTGAGCGCAGCGTATTGCGGTGAGGTCTTGATGGCAGCAGAATTGCAGTATCGCGCAATGGACGTTGGATACAAAGTTAGCTATCCACACTTCACGCAGACGTCTCACGAGGAGGGACTTCCAGAAACATCGTGATGACAATGCAAGCTTTGAACACATACTAAATTAATTAGCATGGTATAGCAACGATAGCAGAATCAGTGGTTTGACAGGGGTCGCAAATTCTGCAGAGAGGCTGGTCACTCAATGTGCCTTATAAGCCCCGGTAGCACATTTACGGTTTACAATTCAAGCAAAGTGCAGGTTCTAGCACAGCGGAAATGTTTGAGATTCTTGCCGTAGGTTAGCCCCAATGGGTCGGAGTACTGGTTTGAGTCGGCCAATCAAAGGCTTTCGTGCTGTTTGTCAGAGAAATACCAAGATCATGTGCGATCATTTCCTGACGATTTGGCAGGCATATCCAGCACTTGCGTATTTTTTCAATATTGCCGAATGGATCTTCGGGATTCTTTTCCTTGTAGCTTGGCTTTTGGTTTGAATCTCTGGCAGTTTTGATACTGTACTGTAGATGATTCGAAGTTAGAGTAGGATTGGTGATGGTGATTATGGCGCTGCTGATGATGACGATGACGATGATGATGATGATGGTGGTGGTGGTGGTGATGATGATGGCGATGATGATGATGATGATGGTGATGATGGTGATGATGGTGATGATGGTGATGATGGTGGTGGTGATGGTAGTGTTGATGGTGATGCTGGCGATGATGATGGTTATGATGCCCGGTTATTATTATTATGATGATGATGATGGTGATGGTGATGATGATGATGATGATGGTGATGGTGATGGTGATGATGGTTGTGATGATGATGATGATGATGGTGATGGTGATGGTGATGATGGTTATGATTATGATTATGATGATGATGATGATGATGTTGATGTTGATGTGAAGATGATTTTGATGTTGATTTAGATGTTGATTTAGATATCTCCTGCTGTTTGCTCTTCCCAAGAAGTCATGGTTCCATCAGGCATATCAGGCTTCGATCAGGAGTACAGTTTCCACAGAAATAAATGACGCTCATTGTTTCATAGCATGGGAGACATGTCCGTAGAATCTTAGAATGTCCCAAAACTGCTCAGCATTTTGAACCTCAAGCTGTGTCATATTGATTTTGTAATTCCCATAGCCATACCTGCCACCATTGGCCGTGGACAGCTAAACTTGGACTTGGCGTGTCAGTGTTTGGAAAAGAAGCTGCTTGCTTGTGACAAAGCGTGTGCTCTCCCAGATTGAAGCAATTCTGAAGCTGATGGCTTTGCGGTGGAAGTATTTTCGCGAAGCTTGTCACGGCGCTGGAAGGTGATAAAAAAGTGTATGGACATTTCAAGCTGCAATACATGCCACTGTTCATTTGGCTAAGCATTTGAAGGGTTTTGAAGTTTTGGATACGGCCTCGCTTGTGCCCGTCGATTTGTCTCGTTTGTGCCCGCGATTTTTTTTCGCGGCACGTTAGTGTCATAGCATCAAGGGCGTTTTCCAAACTACTTCAACATGTCCTCAACGTAGCATATTGAGCATCTTCCACGCTACGCCAACATGCTTTTAATATAGCATCAAGGCTGTCTTGCATGTTACTTCAACATGTCATCAACTTAGCATGTTGAGCGTCTACCCCAAGTCCCCCCCCATGTCCCCTAAAAGATAAACCCAAATGGTTGTTTATATACATGTTGATACCTACACCCTGTCTCCTTGTCCCCAAGTCCCCCTCTAACCCCAAGTCCCCCCCATGTCCCCTAAAAAGATAAACCCTAAAAGGTTGTTTGTGTACATGAAGATAGGTATGCATGAATGTGGGCGCAAGTGAGTCGTTTTGATGGGCGCAAGTGAGGCTGGTTCCGTTTTGAAGCACATGTCATGTTCAGATTTGCATGATGTTGTTCTTTCCTAAATCTTAAATTACTAGGGTTTACTGAATTAAGAAATGAACGCTTGGCTTGGGGTGTTTGTGAAACCAACTTGTCTTTTTGTAGCTCCGCGCCGTGAAATCTTGGCGGCTCAGGAGCTTTGGAATTGTTTTGATTGTATTCTGTTACTTGGCTCACACTAAGGCAAAGTTGGGGATGAGTTCTATGATAAATGACAACAATGAAATTCCAATCACTTCACACGTTGTTGGCCCTGTATGATCTGTATGTCTTGTACAAAAAGAAGACGCATATGGCATAGGTGCGCTTCTCTGTTCAACATTTTTGAACAGATGTGTTTGAGGAGTTGGAACGATCGAACCTTCATTTTCTTACGCAAGTATTGATTTGCACGTTTACCATTCGTGCGCTATGAATGCTATGACTGCGATTGAAAGACCATGCTCTGGCAAGCACACAGTGCCGAGATTGAAATTCACAGCGTTGCTTTGGGCCGCATTTTCAAAACACTCGTGTGCCTGCAAGGGATATGAAAATTTACAGCAATGTTGGTTTCGTTTGTTTTCTGTCCTTTTTTTGCCGACTAACTGTGTCCATCGTCAGTACAGGCCGATTGACGTCAGGGTGCCTAAGGGTGATCCATTTCTCGTGGGTGATTGGTGTGTCATAAAAGGTCAAAGTTGCAAAAAAAACTTAAAAACAAGAAAACAATCCATAGATTTATATAGATTGTGTGAAGTGGTATGGCGGAATCCGTTCGGGTCCATGTAGGGCTCCGTATGTCCACCTCCCCAATCCCCCAGCGATCTTCAAGACTCAAACTGGAAAGTAATCCTCTTTAGTCTTTAATCTGTGAGCGCAACGGTGACTGTGTTGCAAATTGTTGGATATGCTATGTTGCATTTCTTGCCTAGGTGTGTTTTCTGGATTGCAGATCGTGCATTGGAGAACATGCCTTTCGACACATCTATGTTGCGATTGCTCCGATTGGCAAGATTGATACGGCTGGTTCCCCTCCTGCAATGAGAAGAGTCAGCACTATTCAGCACGCCGACAATTTTGGCTTGCTTTGCCGATTCAACGTTTCCGAGTCCACACAGGGTGCGGGATCTATAAAGTTTCCTGAGTTCATTTCTTGATTTGTTTCAATTCTTGTGAAGCACAAACTGGGCAAGTCAGTGTGATGTACTGATTCTCCTCCAATTCAAAATTCATATTGCTAACTTGGGATAACTTGGCGAAAATGCGTCCTTTCACCAGGTCAACTGGCATTCAACTGACGTAATTTGAAAAAAAAAGTCAATGATTTCCAGTGCCGTCCATGAACAATTCATTAGACTCAATCCAGACCTGCAGTTAAATGCTGGGAAACAGGCTGTATCTGGTAGAATAAGCTGAAAGACAAGGGCAGCTTGTCGTCTTTGTGGCCTTGAGATTGAAATTGTTTCTATCATTATCTATCATTGCTGCAATTGCACTGCAAGGATCTGCAAAGGCGCTGATGCTGAGGTGAAATTGGCACGCACTGTGCAGGGCTTCGATGCCCTGGCAGTAATGACAACATCCCTTCATGGCACCTTGGTGCAGTGAGTTCTCAGGAATCAAAAGTAACGACGGCAAGGACATGCTGTCTCAGTTGCATGTACACGCATATTATATCAAGTTACTATCATATCATTTCATATCATATCACATTTCCCTAAGATTAATTTAACATATATAATTTGGCATGATTGTGAAATATGATAAAACATTATCATATGTTTGACATATTATAGTTTATTACACACTTCATGGACGATTGCTTTGATTGTGCACATGTGAATGAGGGTCCTGAAAATCTGGCTACAATTGAGCCTCAGACAGTCCATAATGAGGGATAGGCATCTCAGCGACAGCCTAACCAATGGTCTTTGGTGAGCATGCGAAAATTATCCATGGAAATGGAAAAGCAGAATCACTATGAATCACTTAGAGATCTTATAGAGTCTTTGTTTCTTTTGGGGCTTGAACCATCTTGCATGGCTTGAACCAGCTGGATTCATGGATCAGTATTTGGACACTTCCGTGATTTGCGAACGTTGCAAAGGTTCAATACACGCACTCATATGGGTTGCAGTTCTGTTGGTCTTGGTGCAGATGACCTTTGCGCTTCTCCTCAGTCAGGCTAGGGGGGTACAGCTGTTTTAGGATTTTTGGATATATAATGCTACACTAAGCAAAACGGTATTGCAGACCTTGCATTGCTGTAGATACTACCAGTTGTACAATATCACTCGGTTATCGAAGGTTCCCAACCCACCAGATAGAGCTACTGTGGCTGACAAGAAGTATATAATTTACTGATTACTGTTGTGGTTTGGATTTTCCCTATCAGACCTATCATGCCATCTCATCTCGTGTATGGCAGGTGTTCACGTGATTTGCATTGGCAGAGGTTTGAGGTGTGTTGTACTTTTGCTCTTTGGTGAGCTGGCACTGTGGATTACTTTGGGCACAAAGTGCTAGCGAGTCAACTAGCTGCAAGAGTGCAACTACAATATTGATAATATTGCGGACTGCCTTGATTTGATTTGATTCGCTTCATTGCCAGAGCAGGTATTGTTCTTCTACATAGAGGATGAGAGACAGCCTGTGGAAGATCGCAGAGACGTGTTTGAGTACTTTGGAAATTTCACAAGGTGCCTTTAAATCACATGCGAAGCGTGTTCTATGAGAGCAAAGGAAAAGTCATGTTTCTGCATGGGAGATGACACTCTCGCAGAGAACCGTCTCTGTGGTTCTTTTTGTTTTTTTTGGCTGAAACAAAGGGACCCCATGTGACCCCAGGAGAAAGTGCTCTTGGTGCGTTCGAATTCTCTTGTGTAGGTAGATCAGTTCCATTCAGGCAGGTGGTAAGGCAATGACACACCGCATCGGACTGGCTCACCTGCAACACAAGCTTGTCGTAAAGCAATTTCAGTCCGAGTTCGTGACTGCCAGCTTCAAGTGATTTCAAGAATCAAGACCTCTATTCCAAGCTGCTCCAAGACACATACAATAATTCGAAGATATTCCAGGGGCAAAAATATCACGTTGAAAAACGCTGAGAGGATCTGAGTTTTCTTTTCCTGAGCTCTGAGTGCTTGGAAGGGCCATGCTGAGTATGTTCGAAATCACGCTTAGAAATTGGCCTCCAGTGGCGCGACTCTTGCAGGTGACGGCCTGATGTTCAGATGATGTTGGGACTGGGCAAGAGTAGCAATTTAGAATCTAGATGAATCTAGAAACATTCCGACAGGGGTGATAGTTTCGCGGGATGCTTTTGGAATTGCTTTCAAACTTTGGAAGCGAGCATTTGGAGTACGAAAAGAAGTTGCTTTGGCACTCTTAGAATTGTTGATGTATACATGAACATACTGTAATTTTATATGTGTATGCATTTGTAGTTTGAGGAGATTTTGCCAAGAATAGCTGGGCAACATGGTTTAAATTTTCAAAGCACGATATGCATTCCTATACAAACAACGCTGTCTATGAAATTCACTTGAATGCCATTGCCTATCAAAAAAACTTGTGCACATGTGTGTGTGTGTGTCAAAACCAGCAGCCAAAACCATGAAGGAAATAACTTGAGCTGATTTTCAATGAAAATTGCATGTTTTTTGCTAAAACTGTTGTGCTTACAATAAATTGGAAAGTTTCGGAAAGTCTGCAAAATCCAAAGACTGCCAGAGAAACCAATGCTTCACGTTGCAACATGAAATCCCGCCGCCGCAATCCACCTGCTTTCGCCAGGAGAAGGTGAGTCCCTGGCTTGTGATCTTCAGCATCGGGCACAAAATCATTTTTGGTTGCTCGACAAAAAGTTGCCCTAGAAACCAAAATGAACCAATCTCAAATGAGAGATATGTTCTCTGGGAGACTTGAGCGGAAGATTGCCAGCAGAGAAGAGATAACTGAGAGAAGAGGCGGCTCAGAGAAGCAGTCGCTCACAGGAGCAGGAGAAGCGGCTCAGAGTAGAAGCAACTTGGAGAAGAAGCGGCCAAGAAAACAAGTAGCGGGCATAAGTAGCTGAGAGAAGAGCTTTCCCTTGACTCAGACAACAGAGAGCTCATTGGTTCATTGGTGGTCCCCAAGCATTGGTTTAGCCATTGATTTATTAGTTTTCTTGTTTTTCTTTCAGTTCATGTCGTTTGTTCACTCACCACCTGCCGCGGGAGTGTCTCTAGATTTTTTTTAGGTAAGCTTGTCAGTCCTTCCATCCTTCCATCCATCCATCCATCATCCTTCCATCCATCCATCCATCATCCTTCCATCCATCCATCCATCCATCATCCTTCCATCCATCCATCCATCCATCCATCCATCCTTCCACCCATCCATGCATGCATCCTTCAATCTGTCCATCCTTCCATCCATCCATCCACCCCATCCATGCATCCTTCAATCCATCCATCCATGCATCCTTCAATCCTTCCATCCTTCCTTTCTTCCTTCCATTTGTCCATCTTCCCTTCCTCCCAGCCTTCCTTCCTTCCTTATCCTCTTCTTCCTCCTCCTCATTACTTTTGCTCGCCTCCTCTCACCAAGTTGCCAAGCTCAATCAAGCCCATCGCCAACTTCATCGCCAGCTTCCTCACCACCACGTCATCGCCAACTTCTTCGAGCCTCCACTACACCGCCATTCTATCGCGAGCTCGCCAGCTCTCTGGACCCGAACACTATGCCAGAGAAAATGCAACGCTGAATGCCAGGTCAAAACTTCAGGTAGAACGCCAGAGAAGAAAACCAGATAGAATGTCAGAATATATGCCAGGAAATTGTCAGAAATATGCCCGACAAGGCGTCAGCTAGACTATCAGAATATAAGCCAGATACTTTGGAATATCAGAATATATGCCAGATAGAATGGAAGATGAAATCCGATAGAATGTCGGTTGGCGGGGACCACTTGAAGGAAAGTATTTGTTTACTTGTTTTTAATTCATGTCCCCCTGTTTTTTCCGCATTATGCCATTCGTTTGTCCGCCCACCTCAGTCATTCATTCAGTCGTTCATTCATTCTTGCATTAATTCGTTCGTTCGTTCGTTCGTTCGTTCATTCATTCATTCATTCAAGCATGCAGTGACAAAGATCTTTGTACGTATAGGGTTCCAGCGAAGTGACTTCCCCACAAGCTACTTGCTCCACAATATTGCGGCCCCTGGCCGGAGTAACAACATATTCAGGGCCATCGCAGATGGCACAGGGAAACGTTGGAGAGCATGGCGCATGAACTGCGGGACAGGATGCTTCTAGGGGCCCAAAAGACCTATGCACTGAAGGTTTGCCAACTGTAGCAACGACCATGGGGCAATTAAACTGGTGGTGTGTATGCAGGGTTGCTTGCGGTGGACTTTTTGTGGGGAAGCGAGGAATATTCAGTGGAGTTTGTAGTTTCGTAGCCACGGTGGGAGAAATGGAGGCCGGCTAGCGACAATCAAGCCCGCTGCGCGATTTTAAAAATCAGACCCGGACCTTCATTCTACCCGAAATTTCTGAATGATGTGGTTTACACTACTAAAACTAGGCGTCCAAAAAAAGTAATTAGGCGATTTGAATGTTTCCAGGAAAAACGATCGTGTGGGTTCAGCCAGCTATGCGGGTGAAATGGCTATGAGGCCTATGATATGTCCATATATGTCTTGTTGTTATGTTTGGGATTTGGAAACATGGTAGTGCGCTTAACTTGCACCATAGCTACCGTCCAACATCTGAAGTGCCAATCCAAATTCAAGAAGAAGTCATTGAAAGTCATTGAACACCGGGCACGACCACGGCAGGATCAGAAACAACATGTTTGACCCGCTTTTCCTGCTTTGTAGCCGTTTGATGGGTTTTGCTAGCGGTTTGAATTTTCTAAGCGTTTTTGAATTCGAAATTAGTCGCGGATTTTTGCGTGTTTTCTGTAATCACCTCTCTTGGAAACAAACTTGTGAAAACCAATTGCTGGATTGAGGCATTCTGGGCCACAAATCAAGAAATCGACACATTGATGATCATTGATGTATAGTTCTTCCAAGAACAATCAAATCAGGGGTTTTGGTAAACTACTATTACTACTTTTTGTGGTCGACTCCGAACAAAAGTGCGCAACAACCGCAGCAACCAAAAAGAAACGGGCATTTGAAGATCCAGGGAGGTATGTATGCGCAAAAATTTCCCCGCAGTTCATCGACTGCATAACCTTTTGTTTTGCTCTTGGCGGCGCCACTGCTTGCCCTGGATCAGGTTTTGCATGCTTGGCTGTCATCAATGGTGTCTTCATGCAAGAAACATTTAAAGTCGCTCAGCAAGATGATCAAATTATGCTGAGGACTGAAGTCGCCTGGCTTGCAAGTTGTCTTGCGAGTGGGCGCATGTCAAACAGAACGCTTGTTTGTGCGCGCTTGTGCGTGTGTCTGTGTGTGTGTGGGTGCTTGCACCGTGCAGGCAGCTGATTTTCAACGATGCCCGCGTTTCTTTCAAGCCCCCATCAAGATTTGTTTCTGAGCCCATCGTGGAAGGTTGTTTTCACGGCTGTATTTGCACTGACTGCAAAAACCGCCGTGCAGGACTGTGGAGACAAAAAAGAACGCCCACAGGAGCGGGCACCATTGCAAAGGTGGCTGGCGGTACACACAAGCCAACACATCCATTTCAGCTTTTGTTCCACCTTGAAGCATAGTCCTAGCATGTCCTACAGTAGCGCAGCAGCGCTTTGAGTCATATTCTATATTTCATATTTCATATTTGAAGAGATCTGCGATGGTATCCCTAACAGCCGCAGCGTTTTATTTTTATAAACTTTCTGACACGTGCTGCGAAGCCAAGCGCTGCAAACACCTCAGCTGGGTCTGCACCAAAGCCTCCCAGGCCTTCTCCGAAACCTTCTCCGGAACCCTGTTGAACCTGACCTGGCTCTGCAGCAAAACCTCCCAGACCTTCTCCGGAAACTTCTCCGGAACCCTGTTGAACCTGACCTGGCTCTGCACCAAAGCCTCCCAGACCCAGGCTCTGCAGCAAAACCTCCCAGACCTTCTCCGGAACCTTCTCCGGAAACCTGTTGAACCTGACCTGGCTCTGCAGCAAAACCTCCCAGACCTTCTCCGGAAACTTCTCCGGAACCCTGTTGAACATGACTTGGCTTTGCACCAAAACTTCTCCGGAACCTTCTCCGGAACCCTGTTGAACCTGACCCGGCTCTGCACCAAAACCTCGCAGACCTTCTCCGGAACCTTCTCCAGAACCCTGTTGAACCTGACCTGGCTCTGCACCAAAGCCTCCCAGACCCAGGCTCTGCAGCAAAACCTCCCAGACCTTCTCCGGAACCTTCTCCGGAACCCTGTTGAACCTGACCCGGCTCTGCACCAAAGCCTCCCAGACCTTCTCCGGAACCTTCTCCGGAACCTTCTCCGGAACCTTCTCGGAACCTTCTCCGGAACCCTGTTGAACTTGACCTGGCTCTGCACCAAAGCCTCCCAGACCTTCTCCGGGACCTTCTTCAGAACCTGGTTGAACCTGACCCGGCGCCTGCACCAGTGCACACCAGAGCTATTCTGGCTGAAGACCCCATTAGCTTACGCTGTTGGGGAAAAAACGTGTGTTGGAATGTAGATAACACGATAATTTTTCATAACGCTGGCGACAATGCTGATTTTGAAAATGATGATCGTGCTGGTGATCTGAACCTGATGACCATGATGACAATGGTGAAGGTGATGCTGCTCGTTTTGAAGTTGCTTCCTTGATGCGCATGACGACTGTATTCATGATTTTGCTGAAGCTGGTGGAGATGATGGTGATGGTGATGATGATGATGATGATGGTGGTGGTGGTGGTGACCATGATGGAGTGATGACGATGGTGGTGATGATGATGATGGTGATGATGATGATGATGATGATGATGATCATGATTGGCGACGGTGCTGGTGCTGTTGCTGGTGTTGGTGCTGACGTTGCCAGTTTTTAGAGTTTGCCAACGATGTCGTGTTGTCCATCTATGTCTTTTTGATTCGTGTTTTGATTCGTGTCTTGTCACTTGCAATGTTTTTGTTGCCAAATGACGTGTATCCGGTTTTCTCAAAGAATTAAAGCGTGAATTGTGCAATGTGTGTTGCGGAGACGTGCGGGGTGCAAGGAGATCTTCCGGTCGTGTAAACACGTTTTACAACAAATCGATTTTATTGGGGACAGATGTGTTCACTTCCCCTGGCAGAATCAACAGCAGTTTCATCCGTGCTGTCACTGCGCAGGAGAAAAATGAAGATGTTTTTTCAACATGCTAATGATGACGATGACTCTTTGACCTTGTTAATACTTCATTTGCATACTTGCGTACATGAAACTGAAAAGGTTCAAGGCGCAAGAAGTCTGGAATTGATTTTAAGATGTTCGAGTCAACTTGTTGGCTATGCTTGTGCACTTTCCTTGGAAGCTCAACCCCCTGTCCTTACCATATGGCTGAGATTGGTCGCGCCCCAAGTGACAAAACTGTCACCAGTTCAGTGAATAGAATATCAGGACAGACGCTGTTTTCTGATATTTTCAATTTTAATCAGTGCTGGCAAGCAACCAATTCTGGGCAATTTCTTGAGATGTTTGATTTAACTTGAAATGTATTAAAAGCATCTCTTATACATGTTGCTGTTGGGTTTTTGAGGGCACAATGCGTGAGTCGCACATCACTGCCACATGCATCCACCGTTCAGCGTCTTTTCAAACTCCTCTAAGGACAACATCCTTTCTATTGACGAGTGGAAGGATGTGCTTAGTGAGGAGAAGGCTAGATGTGAACGAGATGAGACCGTTCGGAGAAGTCAAAGCTCTTCTAGAAAGCCAAAGCTTCAACAGGATGAGCTGAGATCATGAAGATTTGAAAGATAGTTGATGTTAATTGGCTATTGAAGTCAGAGCATGTGGAACGCTCAAAGACCCAAGGACTGGAATCTGGTGCTTCTTTTTTTGCGACAGATTGTTCAAAGTGCAGCTGTGTGTGGCACAGGTAAAGCATTGGTTTGCAGCACAGGGGCTTTCTATTTCCGATCCGGACCTGCTGTGGAAGATCCTGGTGCCTTGGCCCATCTTCTGGGAGTCTGATGGGACAACTTAGTACACAGTGGACTGATGTGAAAACTAGCCAGTTGTAACCGAGCGCAACTTGAAGTTATGGTTGCTATGCCTCAAGAATCTTCAACATACAGTATCCTTGTAATGCTATGCTGTGGTCCATGCTCCCTGAAGTCAGCTTGCAGCTCCGCTTATAGGAACCTGATGCCCAGGAAGCAGTCCTTGGAAAATCAAAGCAGATCCATGTGAGAAAACAGAAAGGTTGACATTCTCTTGGTCTGTCTTGGTTTTGCCCTTGTATGAACTATTGACATTATCTTTGTTCATACCGAAGATCTCGCAGCCTGTCGACACCCGAGGACACCTCTGGAGATCGCCAACTAGATTTGGAGGAACTGATACAGGGAACAGCACGTTTGCAAGGCAAGTTGGCGGGCACTGTTTGCGAGTTTTTAGACGCAACTTTGTCGCGGAGAGAAACTTAGCTCTTTTTCTGATGATCGACACAAATGAACTTGTTTGCACAAGTCCCAGATGTCGGTGTGCGTTGCGATATGTCTGTACTTCCTTCTGCACGCGTTCTGCAATTGAGTCCAGGCTTTGCAAAGAGCCTTGACTTGGCAATTTTAAACATGGAGCAGAAGACCTTGCAGACACAGACCGAGGCCAGGGACAGTGGGACAGGCTACAAGATTCTGAAAGGTTCAGCAACATTCAGCAACCCTGTCCTCTACATTGTCAGATCCTGTGATTTTCTTCAATAGTCATTCATCCTATCCTCCTTCTGCTTGATTTTTTATCTAAGCTCACTGAGTACTCATCGGTGTGTTTATGTGCGTGTGTGCCTTTATGGTTGTCCGACTACTACAAGCAGGATGTGTGCGTTTTGTCTCTGATTCTCTTGTCATTCTGTTGTCTTCACTGCCTAGTGGCCTGCACAGAGTTGCGTCCTCACAGATGCCATGAGCCTCGCAGAGATCAGCTAGCGTGAAGACCAACAGTCCAGTGCACAGAAGACCACCTGAACGTGTTCAAACCCTTCACATGTCCATCCTTTCTAACCACAAACTTGCTAAATAGACTAAATCGACAGCTGAGAATTATCATAGGAAGTTTAGTTCGAAAACTCCCGAGTTTCGGACGAATGTCCAGGGGCAGTCTTGTCACCATGGCAGCCTCATGTCAGCATCATCCTGTCAACAACATAGTGAGCAAGAGCAGTTCGTGTGTGGGAGCAGTAGAGGAGTACGGTTCAGGAACGCGTGAATTCACGGGTGAAAACACTCTCGGGCGCGAGACCATTGCGTTTTTTCGGGTAAAGCAGCTTTTGGGATCGCCGAAGTAGGGTCTCTGTTTCCGCGGTTGCGGGCCTCGATCTGGGACAGTTGTCGACAAAAAGTGCAAGGCTGGGGCCTGTAAACTTAAGTTGGGGCCTGGGACCTGTAAACTTAAGTTGGGGTTTGGGGCTTAAGTTGGGGACTGGGGCCTGTGAACTTAAGTTGGGGCCTGGGGGGCTGTGCTTAAGTTGGGGCCTGGGGCCTGTAAACTTAAGTTGGGGCCTGGGGTTCTGCTTAAGTTGGAGTTAGAGTTTCACAAGTTCTGTTTGCCAGGGCTGTGCTTAAGTTACGGTTTCAAAACTTAAGTTTGCCAGGGTTGTGCTTAAGTTAGGGCTCTGTGTGATCTTAAGTTTGCCAGGGTTGTGCTTAAGTTGGTGCCCTGGGTGGTCTTAAGTTGGGGCCTCAAAAGTTAAGTTTGACTTGGCTGTGTTTGAATTCCGCGTTGACAAACTTAAATTGTTCCAACTTAAGTTTTGTAGACTAGGGCGCGCTCCCCCTAAGAGATTATATAAAAGAGAAATTGTGATTAGTTTTTTGTGGAACTTGAAGCTCCGGCTTTGACTTGGGCGCCAACACCCGGTGTTGTCGAATCTGGGGTAACAGCCCTGGCCGGCTCCAAACCCACCATTCCCTGTAAATACCAATGAATTTTTGAAATTTTGGAGAAACACATTATTTTGCCAGATTTTGGCTAGGAAAAGGAAGAAGAATGAGGAAAAGTAACAATTTTTCGAATTTTCCCCAGAACTCAGAACCCACCATCCCCTGTAAATATCAATGAATTTCTGGAAAACCCAGAAATCTGGGGAAACAACCCTGGCAGGCTCCAAACCCACCATTCCCTTTAAATACCAATGAATTTCTGAAAAAAAAAATGTTTTTTGGATTTTGGAGAAAAACATTAATTTTTAAGGTTTTGGCTAGGAAAAGGAAGGAAAGTACCATTTGTTTCCCAGAAATCTGGGGAAGCAGCCCTGGCAGGCTCCACACCCACCAAACAACAATCAGGGATCCAGAATCCAGACATATTTCAAGAAAGGACATATTTCAAGAAAGAATCAACATATTTCAGAAATATTTCAGACCCAGAATCAAACCAATATTGGGGTATCAGAAAACATCAGAAAATAATCCAGAAATAGTTCTGGATTCCTTCACTTTAGGCTGGTGGGATTTCACTACCCTATTGTTCACAAACACAATGTTCAATTGTTTGCATAGAGCTGACTTCCCCCCCACCTTCAGTTGCCTTTCAGCCAATCCTGTCTTGCAGGAAATTATGCAGAATGTTGGTTTAATCAGGCAGCAAACTGCTCTGCTGCTGAGGACACGCGACAGAGTTTTCAAGAGGGCTTCGATGAACATAAGTCCCACTTCCCAAGGGTATCTCACAAGTTTTTGTAAACAGTTTCCCAAGGTTTTACAATTTTCCACCATTGTGGTGCAATTTGCAATACCTTAGAAAAGAAAGGAGGGGCACAAGGTCCTCAGACAACAGATTTGCTTCTTTGTGGTACTTGTGGGTGCTGCTTTAAATTTGATAGTGAGAGAGCCTGGCAATATTCTCAACGCGGGCAATTGAAAATGTTTTATGCATCTTGGGGCAATTTTCACGATACCGTCCAGCCACCCAAGCAGCTGCACTGAGTATATAAATATGGGACATACAGAATACACGCATCCACAGAAACCAAATCAGCAGAAATGATATGGTCATTATTGGATTGGAAGTTGCATGTCCATCCAAGGCACCAAATCCGTTTTGTCCGAGTTGCTGGCCTTTGCAGGAACAACTATGATAGGAACTGCGAACAGACACTGCGTGCCTGAGGTGCTGCAAGACATGACCCGAAACAGCTGCACCTATTTTTGGTGGCTCTTTGTGAGTTGGATGAAAGGGTTTTGGCGATGAATGAAAATAACTCGTATGACTCATGTGTGGCATTTGGTACCATACTGAGTGGTTCCTTTTCTGATGGCGCGGTCTAGGAGAGCTCACTGGCACGCATTCCGACCGATCCGCATTTGAATCATATTGATATAGATAATGTTGGATTCCTGAAGAAATGTGACAAATATCATATTTCTTTAAAATTCGGTGCAGGATTCGCAAGCCTGACAGGTTGCGAATCACCAGCCTGCGCCCGCCTGCAGAACCGCTGCGATGATAGTGATTGAGATTTGGTTCCAGAGCGCAAAGTTCGAAGTCTGGCAACTAAAGCTTCGAAAAGCTTAGTTCTCTTCAACTCTGGCTACTTCGGATTTCAAGCATGGATTGTGCCTTTGTCAATATTCTTGGGGACACTTGACAGCAAACCTGATTGATGTCACACGTCCAACTTTTGATTGTGAAGCAGCGGAGAAGCCATTTCAGAAGAGCCTGATGCGTGGTCTATGTTTGACCTCTACTGTAGCGAAAGAATGGATTTACAAGGTTGCCCATGCAAACAGACATGTTGGGCTCCGGCTCCAAAAGCAAACTCAGCATGCCTGCTGTAGGTAGTACACTCTACGGACGTGTACAAGTGTGTACGGATGTGTACGGTATGTTCAGACCCGTTCCCTTCATCTTTTGCATCTTTTCTTGTCACGGGAAGCCGGCAAGGGGGGAGTCCACTGCTCACATCCAAGCTCAACATAGCTCAATTCCATTCAAAAAGCCATGCTGAGAATTCGAAATCACTGTAAACCAAGACAAGGTGTGCAAAAACATCTGATGCCTTCAATTGCCTTCACCAAGCACCTCTCCCATTCTTTTTGTGTTTCGGTAGTCGCTGTGCGAAGCATAGTGCCGTGGTGTTAAAGGCCGTTGCCTGTCAGAAAGCAGCTCGAAAGTCACTTGCCGCCTTTGAGTTTATCGTGTGTTTGAGACAATTTTGGCAAATTTGCAAGGATGCAATGTGACAGAGAAATGCTGTACTTCTCTCCCGCGCAAAGAATATCCCTACATTGAGCATACCAGGGGGTTTCTGCGGATGGCCAAGGGCTTCAGGATATTCAGGCTATTCAGATTTGTTTTTTTTCAATATTTCAATCAGTTGTATGACCTCGGCATTCCACTCTGAAACCCAGCCTCAATTTCAAGCAGTGACACTTGGAGCTGCGCGATCACTCGTCTCACCATCTTGATACAGATCTCTCAAGCCATGTCAATCCAGCAATGGGCAAAGGTGGCAAGGTTTCAACATGTTTCAACCGCTGAAGGACAAAGTCCGCATGCTGCGGCTGTCCGGCAACAATTTCGCCACCCACTGTGACAAGGAGTCTCCAAAGACAAAAGATCAAAATTGTCCTGTTGTAAGGCGACGCTGGCCAAATCAGACTCCTGTCGCGTGATTGTCCTTGAAGCTTGAACAGAAGAGACAGTCAATTATTGTACTGTACTAGTATATTATATTCATGTATTCTTGTTCTTGGTTGAGTGTTATCTATGATTACCTGCTGTTGACCAGATGCTGTGTGGTTTCAATGGCTCTGAGAAGCCTTTACAATAGGCAGGGTATCATCCTACTCGAGAGTGCTGCTATGAGCCTTGAATAATTGTTTGGCCGATGTTTTATTGATTGCATCACTAGATAGTCCATGATAGTCCCATGGATTCTGAATGATTCTGATATTAATATGTCATAGTCATAATATGTCCCTGATAAGACTAGAAGACTAGACTCAGCAAGGTTAGGAGGTCTTTCACTCTTTCACTGTACGAACTCAGTGAGGTCCGGCCTTGGCGATTTGAGTCTGAGACTCTGCTCGCCTCCAGAGACACTCGAAGGAAAATAACGAAAGATATCGAAAGATATACAGCATTATACAGGTAGAGATGTGATCCGAATCTGACAACGCGTTGAGAAAAAGCGCAGCGCCCGGCAGAAGTCAGAAAAGAACAAGGCCAACTCCAACACTTGATTGGCAAGAAGAATGTTTCTGCAGAAAGATATGCGTAATTCTTCCACCAAGAGGTGTTCACAGTATTGTTGACATCATCAATTGCCCAGTTGCCAATAGCAGAAATTTCTAGAAATCTTCATGTCAAAGTGCATATCCATCCCAGCCAATCAATTCCAGCTGGCCTTACGCGATTTATTTGAGAGCGCAGATTCCCAAAGTATCACAAACCACACGAGGGCCCAAGAGAAACCCATATATATTTGTTGCATGATCTGGTGTAGGAATCTTTTGGCATAGCATGGTCTTTGAATTGCAGGCAATGCAGTCAGACGAGAGCATGATGCTGCAAAATGCTTGTGAGACGTCTGGGCCTCAGTCAATCTCCTAGCAATGCTACTCACAGAGCACTTGTATCATGTCGCTGGTTCACGTTAGAGTTTGTCTACCTGATGAGGGATGTGGTGGTTGATGCCAAATGATTGGCAATACACCTTTGTAGAGTGGGACTTCTTGTATATCTTAAGAGTGTCAAATTATGACTGCGACATGCTGGCAAGCAGACTTCACATTCACATCACCCAATCATCTTTCCATGTTTGTCCCTTGATATACTTTTGTCATGTAAGTTCATCTTGCTTGTAGTCATTGTATGTAGGGCATAGCTAGACACTTGTATGTTGAAGATATCTGTAGTCAAACTTTTTCATTTAAATTTGTCATTGTAGATTGACCTCTTGGACTCTTGGGATCTCACTCCCAAGTCTGAATATCTTACACAACTTGACTGACTGAGTCGCCCACTGCAACTTCCATGTAGTTTTGTTTGGTCGCTCTGCCAGGTTGGTCTCCTTGGTCTTTCTGACTTGCTTATATATTAGCTTAGCAAGCTGCAATGTCAGTTTGCCGAGCGTTGAAACTGCAACTTATGAACTTCTCTTGCTCTGTGTCAATATTCTGTACTGTCTATTCTCTTCTTGTGTTGTTATTTCTTCATATTTCGTTTGTTTTCTGAAGCTCCAGAGCCAAGCTGGAGGGCTGCTTGGCTGATCTTGGCTGCAACCAGGATCAAGGGATTGGGCCATGGTGCCAGGTCCAGAGGTCGCCGCCACAGGGCGGCGACTTATTGGAGCCTTTGTTGCGCTTCGCGGAGAGGCTTTTAGGCCCTGATCTGGAGGCGTGGGACACACAGCCACATCACGAGGGCAGTTACTCAGGCGAGGGAAACGGACAAATGTGGTGGAAAATGTGGAAATATCAAGTTTATTAATAGTTTATTCATGTTTATCCATGTTTACGCAAGTTCAACAGATTCCAAAATTCCCACAGAGGTTACTGAACAGATATAAAGAGTGAAAGTAGGCGAAGGTAGCAATGATCGGGTCTACAATTCACAAGAAATGGCACAACTTCCCCATGCTGAGTTCCCGCGGCTTTGCCTCCTCTCAGAGTACACAAAAGATTGCTCTGTCTGGAGAAGACACTTACATGGATTCACTTGCTTCTCGGAAATTCTGGAGGGAAGGCAGCTTGAATACTACAACCAGGATCTAGAGGAGCTGGTTTGAGAAGGATGCTTCAAGTTCTTATTTGGAATATTCGTAAAGCGCGCTCTTGTTCTGATGCATTGGGTTCATACCAGAGGCCAAGCTGTAACAGCAGCATGTATCAGCCTATTGCTTCCTTCATAACACTTGTGCCTTGTCTTCTTTGCAATTCCGCGCTCCGAGGATGATGCATGCCTCTATGTGGGGTCGCTGCCTCGAAGAATAGCTCCAAAGCCTGCGTTTCTTTTTCCTTTCATTTTCGGTAATAAGTTGGTGTCATGTACTGTAGTAGATATAGATTTCTTTTGGAGGATGTGGTTGTGCTGCCTCGTCATTGGATAGTGAGCATTTTACCAGCCCGTGGCTTAACACTGTCCACTTGGCTCAAGCAGGGAGAGCTTGCCCATTGACTACCTGTGAATAACGCTAGTAAATGACCACTGATGGAGCTAGCTCTATTGATGCCCTTGATAAGAGTTGTCTAGAAGCTGCCATTTGCAAGCCATTCCTGAGCATGTTACAGTCTAGAAGTCCATAGAACATGAGAGATATTTCATGATGTATCTCCTTTTGTTCAACCGCACAAGATGTACCACATACTAGAGTGTCGCATTGATATGCATTGATCATATCAGCGCCGTGTCGGTGAAGGTGGTCAGTGTCATCTTAAGGATCAAAAAGAGTCTGCTCATTTATAAATTCAACATATTTCAGCAGCTTCTGACTTATCAAGACTTTTGGATGGCTCCAACTACCGGTGGAAACTTTGGGCAACTACTGCGGCTGTGAGAATTTTGGGCAACTTGCTCGGTCAATCCACATATACAAGAAGCAGCCATGGTCTTGCGCCTCTTGACTTTCAACATATGGTTTCATCACCACCAGATGGAGCGGCGGATGAAGGCAAGGCGTTCCCGCTTCTTAGGGCGTTGGTCCCATCATTTTTGCGCTCTTCATCGCTTGCAGTGTTTTCATTTGCCAGTTGCTACAGAAATACATGTTCCTTCATTACGAAACCAATAAGGTGTGGAAACATGATCCTAGTGTTGCCAAGCACGCGGAAGCGAAGGGTTACATCTCAGATTGAAACTCAAAAGTGTCAAATTTTCAGTACTAGTAGTAGGTTTGATACCTATATGGCATCATGAGGTGCAAAGAATAGAGACAGCGCCGAAAAGTTGAAAAGCGCTGGAAGGCTAGCCTTCAGGCAGAGTGGTCTGCATAGTGATTATATAAATTCTGCTCAAGTGCGAAAGATTTTAAGCCGGCCATATGACCGCGTGGAATAGGTGTGTTCATTTTTGTTCAAAGCAGGGGTGGAAGAGTACAACATGTACAACAAACGCAAGATGTTTAGGCACATAGATGGTTGGTGCGGTGATTGGAGATCGAACAAAAAGAACAAAAGAAAGAAACAATTGGTTCATGCAAATTGAAACCGTACTGGAGGGTACCAGATTTCATATGAAGAGGTGTAAGATGTTTTCTCCTTTTCAACAGCCTCCTTCCTCATCAGGCAATTGGCGACATCATTGCTCGAACAGAGCCGGACTTGATTGCTTTTCAAGTATCTTATCTATAATTTTTGATGCTGATGGAACGACATACGTTGTCGGTTCACATAAGAAGACGACTGCAGCCGTTCGAGAGGCTTCATCCTCTTCCAGTTTCAAACATACGTTGGGTAAAATGATGTAAAAGTATATGTAAAAATCTATTTAAAACCCTTTTGTAGGGCTCAATTTTGCCTGGACTTGTGGTTTGGGAAGTAGTGCCTCTCAATTGTCGGCCAGTTTGAAGCCAGTTTTGGGTTTCTGGGTTTCTAGCCTTTGCACAGCTTGGCGCCAAGGAGATGACACCAGCTCACTGGGATTTGTTATCATCCCATGAAGTCATCAAAATGTACAGCTGGTCAGACCCACCAAGGCAGCCCGACTTTGTGGACCGTCATTTGCCAAGACTTTCTGCCGATCTGGGAATACACAAATTCAAACAGAGCCAGAATAGCCAGAATATCCTACTTATAGATACTTATAGATACTTATAGAACAGCAAGAGGGAATGTGTTCCATGCCAGCCCTCCAGCGGGAGAAGTTTCCAGACGTTGAATGGTCTGCAAGTAGGGGGAAGTGATGCGGTTAGGCAGTGAGGCAGTGACCTGTCTAGAAATGAGGCGAGCCGCTGCTTAAATGCCAACGATTGTTATATAAGTTATATATCGGTTTTGTTTGGCTTCAAAGCCAAATTCAACCAGCATGTTCACGTTGCAAAACAGCGATGGAATGCGATGGATCACTGGTTCACCTTTGTTTACATTTGTTTACATGTTCCTAGTCCTAAAGCATCCTAAAGCAGCATGAGATAGTTCTGACATGTTCTGAAAATAAGCGCTCTGAGCTTTGATGAGCTTTGTATCAAGCTAGTTGTCGCATGTTGTTGCTATTCCAAGCGGTTGAAGCAATGGATTCTGCAGGCAGCGCTACTACACCTTGATTGGAAGCCGCAGCAACTTTGACATTGTGAACACATTTGAGAGATTTCCTTTCAAGGAGACCTCAAATGTTCAAGCGGAAGGGAAATTGTGACGTCATTCAATTGCCGAGAAGTAGCAGCAGTCAAGAGGTTTGTAAATTCGAAGGTCATTCCACAGGTGACACCATATCAAATGACCCGATTGGGATTCATTCTATGCTCCCACAGTCAGGTTTTGTGGCTTGAATTTGTCAACTCATAATTCATACGAGTCCAGAATCACGAACCACGGGAATACATGGGAATAGTTGGGAATACCAGATTTTGTGTTTTTCCAGGAGTCATTCCACTGCACAAGCCCAGTATCCATGTATGGAGAGAAACATAGTAGTATTTAGCTGCATCCCAATGTAGACTACCATGGACTATGAAACTTTTTGAGAAAATTTTGAGACATGGTGCAGGCGAGCAGAATGGGGAGAGACCTGCTGAAGGTGACAGCATCCTGCCTTCATTTGACATGGCCTGGAACATGTTGTTGGAAGCATCGTTCTTAAGCCGCGTGCACCATTTGCTCAGGCAAGGGCAAGCCACTAATTTTGACTGGGGAACTCGAGGTGAAAGTCTGCATATGCAAGTGCCTTCTGACCCCCTACCAGCTTCAAGACAGATTCTTTTGTAATGCAAATAGTTTTGATATGTTTTTCCGCTACTGTTTCTGTTGATATGTTTTGCCCATTTTTCAGTTTTACATTGCCTCATCAGCTTCAGCCTGTCACTCCCAGGTAAAGCCGCCAGATTTGCCCGCATTGGTTTTCGCAACGTCCCATTTGGAATCTTTGGACGAGTACCAGGCCATGATTAGCAAATGCAAGCATTCAAGCGATATTGTGTTGATTGGCCCTTGGCCATATGACAATTATGACAATGTACAAAGCAAGACAAGAACCAGAAGAAATTGATCAAGATCTTTTCCCCCCGAAACTTTCTGTATTCATTGTTAGTACAGGCTGCTTGTCACTTGGAACCAGATATTGTGTTTTGGTCATTTCAAAGTTCATGTCCTGAGGATTGCTCAAGGTCTGAAAGAGGTGCTGAATTTGCTGGAAAAGCAAGCGACCTGTGCTGCTTGGTGTGAGGCCAGGCGTCGCCAAATCCAAGAGAGCTTGGATGGTCATTTGAAAGATGCAGAGGACGCAATTTTTTGCTCCTCAGCAGAACAAATGATTGGCTAAAGCCGAATGAATCAGAAAGCCTGCGCAGATTGTGCAGCCTTTCTCATCCATGCATGCTTTGCCTGAATCCGTGCTGCTTACGTTGAATTTTGGCAGATGTTCGCATCCTCTGAAGTGCCGAACTGTTAGTAAGTTAAACAGCCACAAACAGTCTGTGCAATACATTCCAACACGATATATTCTGCAGTAGTATAACTGTGGTGGCAAGCCAACGCATAAAAGATTTCGCACTGGCCTTCACATCCAAGGCGGAGACACCAACGTCAACGATGCCCTGGACGGTGACGTCCTGTTACCAAAAGGGTGGAAGGAGCCTCCCATCATGTTTGTCTCCCATGCTTTCGATTCAAAGATCAATGTCTTGAACCGGACTGGATCGGACTGGCAGTGTCGGGCTCCATGATCTCCAGGTGCACCAATGAAATCTGGTTTTGAAATCAAGACCCATGCCAACGGCATGGAACCTCATCAACTTGATGCTAGAAAAATGGGGAGGGTTTGCTCTGAACAGAGCAATGGTCGAGGCCCCGAAGCTTTCAGGGGCCCTGGTGTGCCTGATTTCATTAATTGCATTTGCATCCAGCCTTAAGCCGTCAGATCTTTTTTATGCAGAGGCACACAAACACGCGCAAGGCACGTCCATGCACATGCCTGTTGTCTTTGGAAAGCAGTTACTGAGTTACTGTAATATACTGTAATAATTTCTTCTGTGTCATTCTTACATAATCTTACATACATTCCATTCACATTCCATTCATTTCCATTCGATAAACTTGAGACATTTTGGATTGCACATCACTGCATCTGTGAGCCGTTTGCGCAAGGATGCTTGGCTGGTGCTGCGACCAGAGGACGAAGGCGACGGCCGCGGGAGGTGTGGTTGAGTGATGTTGAGTGTGTCTGAGTAATTCGAATACTTTGCCCAGTGAGAATTATCTTGCGAGACCAGTCCCCCAACAGGGTTTCTTCCAGAATAAAAGATAATAAAAGATAATAAAAGTGTGTGATCCCAAATTGTAGCAGCTCTGTCCATTTTGTTTGAGCTTCATCTTGAACTGGAGGGGTCACATTGTTCGAATTTGCTCGCGAGGAAGTGTTTGCCTGCAAGAGAAAAACAACTTGTGCTTGCAGTTTGTACAGTATGTTTCTATCAGTTGCGGAAGAGCAGAACTTTGGGTTTATTTTTGCAAACAGGAGAAGTCCATACCACCAATATGCCACCATATGCCACTAATGAAGGCGCATGTGGTAGAAGTTTCTACAAATTGTGTTGCTCGAAATCTTGAAGTTATTGTGCAAATACGTCGAAATCAAGTGCTTTAGCCAATGCAAAACCTGTCACGGGAGGATTCACTTTTGACGTTGAGCGGAACAGCAGCTTTGACAAAGTGAGTTTGTTGCCGAGGTAAACTGCTGTGAACTGTTTGAGTTCAGAACACCTGTGAAATCTGTGAACCGGAGCCAGTTGGGACGCTACGAATCGCTACGACTCTTTGCATCCAAGGCATGGTGGCCGAAATGGACGACTGGGCTTTCAAGAATCAGGCCAGGCTACGCTACGATCGCTTTTGGATCAAAGCATCTTGGCAAATTTTGGCAGAAAAGCTGTCCAACAAGAACATGAAACAATTACATAGGTACGCAGCGCATGCAGAAACATTACAAGAAGTCCCAGACACCGCAACTTCTACCTGCAACATGAGGTGTCCAACTATGCACCTGTTGCTATCGAGCTCCTTGATGAGCAGATCGAGGAAAGATGGATGCGCCCGGGCATCGCGTCCTGGCCAGTTGATGATGGTGATGCTATTTTGATCTATTTTGTGGATTGCAGTAAAGCAATGTAAAGCATAAGCCTTTAGAAAGTGTATTCATGTTATTTAAAAGTTGTAAATCGACGTGCATGCCTGCCGTTTGTGCGCTGTGTCTCTGTGTGTGTGTGCATGTATGTGTTTGTGTTTAGGTCTCTGAATGTAGTCTCACAGGAGCTGTCGATATCTGTCGATTGCACTTTTATTCTTGTTAATTCTCCAGCATGAACTATGACAGCTGCTTCCAACTTCCAATGTGAGTATTGCGTTTTTTTAATTACTGGGATTCACTGCCGTTGTGATGCAATTTCTCTGTTCGTAAGAACAACATCAAACCGCATAACCAGCAAAAAATGTCATAAAGCACCACAATCACAGAAGCACGGCACGATATGGCGCGCGGCAAAACAACTTTCAGATCGAACGTCTCACATCGCCCCGTTGATGTTTCCGCTGATGTTTCAAGATGTTCACAAGCTCCAGGAGAAGCTTTGGCCCAGTGATCACTTCGCAGTGCTCCTCTCTATGGAGGTGAAGCGCTGACAGGGACAGCAACGGAAAGTAGTCGGGACGTGGCACAGTCACATCAGTCACACATCATTCACACATATTCACACTATGTTCATGAAAATAAGGAAAGTTGGCAGTGACTTCTCAGATTTTGCGCTCAAAGCCCAAGAAAAAAGATATCAGGTAGATAGCTGGACAGTTTTGTCTGAAATCTAGGCCCTGAATCACTGAAGTCAGTGCAAACTGTTATATATATATAATTATTGCATTTTGTATTTACGTCAAAATTGCAGCGAAGAATGATTGTCAAAGAAGTGGTCAGGGCTGGAAAAGGTGATGTGCACGCATGTATGTGATTGGATGTGGATTTATCTTTTTCCTCTCACAAGAGTGTTGAAGATGAAATGCTACCTATCCCACCAGCTTGGACTTTCATTTTTGCAAACCAAAATTTGAAAGACTTGCTGGGCCTGCAGCCACCAAAGCTGATGTTGTTTTTCAGCAAAACACAGTGCGTATTGACTTTCAGATGCTTCAAGAGTGTGTTCAGGTACCCGATGAAAAACACGACAGCAATCCATACATTTACTTTTCAATGCCCAGTTACTGTTCTTGGGAGCAGGAGTGGCGGCAACACTATGGAGACCAGAGCCAGCAGAAGAGCCAGCGTGATTGCGAGGTGGCATTAAAAAAGGCACAGAGAAGCTTTCACGCCCATATGGCACATATCCTCAAAAATTGGAGCACAGGAGCAAAATAATAGTGATTGGAGTAGTATGGAGTAGCTTGAAAGGTTTGCTTTGCACATGGTAGCCTGCTTTCCTCATGCACAGCCATCCTGTCCGCCAAGGCCACTGGCAATGCTCCTGTTTGCCAACTATGGCCGCTGCTCCAAGGGTGTGTCACGGACTTCTGTAACAAAGACCTGATGATATTTTCTCAGGTATTGCTGAATGACTCGATCATTTTGTTGAGGATCTTTCGCCGCGTTTTGTACCAAGGCCGGATGCTCCCTGTTCAATTGCAGGCCGCCGACGTTTCACTATAGCAGTAGACTAGATACTACATTGTTGTTAAAGCATCGAGGTGAGATTTTTGGGTGGGGTACTGAAACAGCAAGACCTTGTTTGTGTGGAAATTGATCGGGATTGTTGAAGCGGATTGGCTTGTGTCAGTTAGCGCTCAAGGATATTTTGGAGAATGCACTCTGAACACAATAGTTGCAACAAGACGTAGATAACCATTGACAGCTGCCGGTTGTACCCACTCTCGATTTCGCAAAGAATCTGTCCAGTAGACAGATCGTACAAGACCAAGGTTTGTAGTTTAACGGTTTTTACGATGGTTTCAGGGCATTTGTTGTTCTCATTCATTTGCAAGCACTAAACGCAATTTGTCCCATAGTTCAAAAATGTTCAAAATGTATACAATTCCATCGCAACTCACTCACCGCTTGGAAAAAGAGGTAGGGCTTCTTCAAGCTCTTGTGCTTCGATTGGCGCGAGCAGAACGGCCGTATCTGCGACAGGATGGAGCAATTCAGACAGGCTCTATACTTGCCCAACTGCCAAAACAGATTTGGTATATATTGATATTGCGTAATATTAATAGTATATTATATATTGACACATAGACAATACATGTTAAGCCCTCATAACTTTGACATTGGTTGCGTTCTTGTTTCGAAATGCGTATAGCATCGTATAGCTATGGATGGCTTTACCTCTGGACAGAGAGCACCTCTCCCCAACTCCAGGAGCTGGTAGTAGTCTTTGCCAGGCTACTACATGAGGAGAGCGGGATTGGCCCGAGTTTAACTCAGTTTCTTGTGGCGCAATCTTGCACTATCGTGGATTGGTTTGTGTACGGGTATGGACTACATCAGTATGCACTGGTACTCGTATGGACCATCATGGACCCATCCTGAACAGTAACTGCAAGTGCCCAATGACTGCATCGCAGTGGCTTTTGGAGACTCTCTGTTTTTTGGCGTACCAACGTAAATCATCCAGTCGTGGATGTTTGGTAGTGCTTCGCATGTTCATTCCCCGAGGGCTCATTAAACTCAATCCACAAAAAATAAATGTTCTTTTTCTTGGGCAGTCCAAGGATAGACTATCACTTCAAGACGGCATGACATGATTCATGTGCCATGATGTTTTCTTATGTGTTCATATAACATATATGTTCATATATTTCGCGATATACTATTAGTATATGATATAATATAAATTTGATCGTACAGAACATTTGCTACTCCCGAGCTACATGTGCAATACTATACAGACTATACAATACTTGCTCCTATTGGTAAGCCATCAGGCACCTTCGCCGGGCGAGCTTGTTCCCCGAAGGACTTGAATGGCTCCCTGAATGCCCTGGCCAACATGGAGGCGACACACGTTTTGCTTCGCAAATCCTCAGGGAAGATTCGATCTCAATGAAACTGCGGTCGCCGGGTGCCGCTTAGATATTGCGCCTGCAAGCGATTCGGGTGTGCTGCTGCGGGTGCTAAGGATTCATGCTTCCGCATTGGGCGTCATGAGTGTGTAGCCCGGAATGTAACTGGCTTCACAAGATTGAACGTATTTCCATTATTGAAATCTATTGAAAGTAATTCGATGAAAATGGACGTCAGGGCAACCCACGACCAAACGCCGACACAGTGTGCTGTCCAGACTCCGTGCTGCGGTTCTAAGGTTACTTTATAAAGCTTCTGCACATTAAGCTCCACATTGATACGAATTCTGGACTTTTTGATCTTTTTGGAGCATTGCTTCCATGTTCTTCCATGTTCTTCCAATCTTCTCCCACTTTATGGTTCTTTGTCTCCAAGCCACGACCCTGCGGATCCACCTCCGTTTTTTGTTGCTGTAGAATAGAAGATAGAAGGAAAAAATGCACGATAAAACCTACAAAGGCCATCAAAGGGCCACGTCATTTTCTGCCGCTCGACTCATCTACGTGTTCTTTTTTTCTTTCGGCTGTTCTTTCACACGTATGCCTGAGCTAGCCTTAGATATTGATGCTTTTCGATCTTTTCGCGGGGTGTATTACAGGTAGTTTCGACTCTGACGAATTTTGAATTATTTTGAGACCTTTGGCAGGTAAAAACACCTTCAAAGGTCGTTTAAGACTTTTGGAGGTAAGACCTGCAGCGTTCTGTCTCTTTTGGCTTAGAGATCAAATCATTGAGTTCATACGGAGGTTGAGCTTCCCACATCTAGATTAAGCCCAGGCATCGTTTCAATCAGAATACATACCAGTAGTATTGCAATCTTATTTGGTCCCACAGAATTTTATCCTCCTGCGCCAGGCTTGTTTTTGATGTTTGTTGAAATTTGGTTTTGGAAGTTGTGGGACATTGGATTATATGGCTGTTAAGTTCGCAAGTCACCCCAGGTGAATGGTTCCACTGGTGGTCTCCAATTGCTGATGCTTCTCAGCTGAACAATGCTGGCTGACAAACACCTGAAAAACTGTCCAAAAAGTGCAGGAAATCGATGCCTTTGAACATTTTGAACCTGTTGGCTGGCTGCTTCGAAGACCTCCGGTGAATCCTCTCGACCTAGGTCTACATGGCTTGCTTGCGTGGGAGTCCCCAGTTGGGCCAGTTGCGCAGAAAAACTTCCACAGAAAAAGTGGAGCATTCCAGCTGCAATTGACTTTTTTGTCCCAGTTTGAAAAGGCCAGATGGATTTGCATCTTCACTTACCAAAAAAAGTTGGGAGGGCTAGGTTATGCTAGGTTTACAGAATCGCTCAAAGTTCTCGCATTAAGAAAGTTTAATGTGTTGTCCAATCGCTGTTGTCTGTTTTCAGTGCTGGACACGCTGCCTCACTCCAGGAGCCTTGAATGTTGTGTGCTCTTGTGCGTAGCCCTGAAACCGCACATATTTGCATTAGGCTGTTTGGCTTGGCATGCCCTTACCGTAAAGCATATCGGAATATATAAGGAGTGTCATGTGAATGTGATGGTTTGTTGTGCACATATGTAAATAGTTGCACATAAATTAATGTATGATTTTAACAGAATTATAATATATATATATGCATATTGCACACACGTCCACATTCACATATGTGTGAAGCTGCTTTTCTAGTATACAGGACGTACAATACGAAATCGTCAGACGAATAGTTGGTTCAATAGAGGCGCCAGAGATTCGGGCTCGCAGAGCGTGCGGCACTTATGGTGACTTCTCATGACCTCACCCTCTCAGTTTTAACAGTAGTGGAATCAATCTGGAATCTACGAATTGCATGAATTGGTGGCACATGACCTTTGCTCTGTAGTTTGCTTGCGTTGAGATGAGTATCCTTCCGGCAGATTACATACTTACTTCTTTTTTTAATAAACATCGGTGTACAAGATGACACAAGGAGTGTACTCAATGATGCGCAATGTGTAAACTTCAAAGCATTTGGTAAAGCACTTTACAGTTTAGAACCGTTTTGTTTTGCACAAAGCGTTGAAATTCTTTGATGTAGTTATTGCAATTGCTCCTTGAGGCGCAATATCACAGTCTCAGCACTCTGCCGCGTGCACGAGCGCTGCAAAGAGGCGAGAAGAGTGTCTGGATCTGGTATGTTGCTCTTGACATATTCCACAGGATATGTACACAGACTGCACACACGTCTCTCCATGTATGTTTAAACTCGAAAGTATTGATCGGTAATGATCGGTATATTCAAATGCACTGTATATAGTACGGGTATTTTCTTCGATCTCACTTTGCGTGGCTTTCCGTCAATTTGAAGGCTTTTTGCCGTCATTGCCTTGAGTTTCTTCCCGCGGAAAAGCTAGAGCTAAGTATGCTTTAGACCATGCTACATCAGAATGCGTGCCATTGCATAAATCCAATACGAATCAGCGAATCCGTGTTTTCAGGGAGTGCAGCCAGTACAACCTACATATGACATAGAACAAGAATGAAAAGATACCAAGCCTGATAGAGGGTATGCAGCAACGGAGAATGCTGGCATGTTCAATACGGTACTGTCTCTATCGGAGTTTGCTACAGTAATCATTCCCTTCAAAGCATTTGCTAGTTCGCAATATCAAGCAGTTGCGCCTTTGTTTTGCACGCCTTTCAGAGACATTTCAGAAGGAAAGGACGAAATAAGCCCCTCATCCAAGAACTGTGGCCCCTTCATGAATCACAACAAAGAAGCACAGGGGAATTTCACATGCAGATGGGGCGGATCCTCGACAGGTCATGGTCACTCAATGTCATTTGTTGATATGTGATATGTGTTGATATGTGTTGTATCGTTTCTGTATTCACAGCGACCAAAGGTGTTTGAAAGCCTTCCCCAAGCAGACGCGCTTCAACCAAAGCCCTGACTGCCAAATCTATGGGTATGAGCCAGGATGCGCAGTTGCAGAGCCAACTTGGCGAGGCTGTGTCCTCGTGAATTGTCACCTTAGAGAAAGCTGTGCCTCACGGGATACTTGAGCTCAAGGATTCTATGTCCACGTTTAGTAAAGCTGTTGACTTTGCTTGATACCATTTGATACCCAAAGATTTGGAGACTTAATTAATCTTAATTCGCTCCTGCCAATGGGTTTCGAATTGAACTAGAAAGGCAAGGCTTACTCAGCTGCACTGGGGGGACAGGCGTCCTGGGAAATGCTTATAGTATTTTATAGTATCTTATAGATTCTTATAGTATCCTTGTCTACATGTTACATGTGTGTGTATGAATGTTGTATTTTATTACTGCAATGTTATGAACGATATGTTCATGGAATGCGATGCAACGCAATGCAACGTAATGTAATTTAATGTATTTGTTGTGTTGCATAAACATATATGCAGTCCGTGTGTATATATATATACGCGCATAATATATAGATAGATACAATACACACACACAATGTAGACACATGAATCATGTTGCTTTTTTGAGACGAAACTGTGGTGCTCGGTTCCGTTCTATAAGTAGAGTTGCAAAGAGATGCCTTCGATTTGAACTGTCAAGATTTTCCACCAGCCAAGACCACGAGCTGAAGCCTGGTCCCTTTGAACATCAAAAACAGCCGAACTTGGTTTCTTTCTGCCCAAGGCAGCAAGACCAGATCGGCCTTGAACTGAAGGGGGTTCACAGATAACTCACATTGATCCAGTTTGGTGATGGAATGGTGTGGATGCTGTAGAATGATTGCAAGATGCAATACACGCGAATTTCATGGAGTCAATGTTCCAAATCCTGTCCATGCTTGGAATTCTTGACGTGCCCGGTGCTTTCAGTTGTGTTCATGGATGGGAACGTGATTGCTACTGTGTGTAACCGTTGGTTGCCCAGAAGGTTGTTTGCCCCAAGTTTTCTAACGGGTGTGTTCGCGCAGCTACTGCAGTGATCAAGACTCAATACAATTTTCAGTTTTCTCCAACTGAGGTTGCTTCAAGCCATTCTAGCTGGCTTGGAGTTCGAGAATTTGCGCTGCAGGCATAGTGGTTGAAATCTCCTTAGAGTTCTTAGTTTAGTTTAGTTTAGTTCTCCTGAATGGCTTGAATGTCTTCCTAGTGGTCACAATTGTTTTTCTTTTTTGATGTCTCCCCTTGAAGGCAAAGCTTCTAGCCAGACAGTGCAGGAATCCTATTCCCTGGATCATCTTGAGAAAAGGTTGGAGTTCACCCTGTTTGGTGCTTTGTTTCTGTTTGGGATGCCAGCAACAGCCCCACTGCAGTCAGCTACGGGACGCTGGTGCCAAAGCGTTGGACGAAGACTCAGACGATGAAGACGAGGCTATCTATCCTTCAGATCCATCGCCTTGGCAAAGGTCATGCCAGTGTTTTGGTTATTGTGTCCGACATCTTCCATAAATATATATTTGTATATTATAATTGTTATAGTACATATAGTACATACATAGTCTGTATACAAATATTATATTTATTTATTTATTTACAGTATTTATTTATTTATTCATGTTTATGTGATGTATTATTGTGTTTATGTAATGTAGTATAAATGCTGCGATGTATCTACGGCGTATATGGTATGCATACAGTATCTGCATAATATATATATATATAGTACAGTATATATATAGAGTTCAATCACTGCCTGGTTTTCTGGGCTTTGACATATGAAGAGCCCCCTGAAAAGCTACAGCAACCTCCGTTTCAAAACAGCGCGAGGAATCAACCGAGTTTGCTAAGATATCTCAGATGTAGCATGGTTTGAGGGCTTTATGCTTGGTGAAGGTCTGACCTGGCAATCTTTGTTTTTGTGTCCAGGATGCGGAGGAGGACAAGGAGCATAAGCACAACGTTTTCTTGTCAGACTTTTTGGACCTGGAGGAGACTTCAATGGGCTTTCGGGTGCTTTCGGAGTTCATGTGGATGTTATGAATTTCACAATGTTCATCGACACTTGAGCATACAAGAGCCAAAACCTAATGAGGCAGGATACACCCAGTGGGTGTGAGAATCAGACGACACCAACAACCAATCAGAGAACACGATTTCAATCCTTGGCAGTGGCCTCTGTATGCTTCGTGTTCTGAGACATCATTTGACACCATGTAGTGTAATGAGCAATATATGATAGTACCATTTCACTGCTCAGCTGCTCTATCGGTGCTGTAGGGTTTTCATAAGTTTTGCTTCTCAAGGGGATTTTCACATTTTTTCTGCCGCAAAGAGGGCGTGAGAGTCCAAGCAAGTGCACATCCTGCCTGCAGACGATCAGGGTGTTGAATTGGATCCATCCATCTCGAAGATCAGCGACATAAGATTCACGTGAGAGAGCTCTTTGGATTCCAACATGACCTGATTGCGCGGAATTGCCTTTCAGTAGGCTTGAGGGTGGCTTCTTGCCAAGTGGCCGAACGGCTCTTAAAAGCCAGTTTACTCGATCATTGCTTTGAACAGTGCTGTAGCATTTTGACGGCACCGTGAAGGACATAGACTCTGATGGATCTGATGCGGCTGATGCTTTTCAGGTGGGCCAGCGTGATTTGTTGAGGGGGAATCTTGTACTTTTTCTGGCCTGTTCCTGGCGTTCGTTGAAACTATCTACAAAGGATCCCCTTGCGACAGGTAGCTACATGCAATTGTATGTAGTTTCATGATGTTTCATGTTGCCGATTTGAAAGGTGGTTTGACAGAATCCGATACATCACACTGCTTTACAATTTCCACGGGAAGAATGTGAATGTGTTGATTGCTTTGCACATTTCGGCTCATGAGTGAGCAGTGTCGTGCGATGTCATGACATGGCGACAGCGCAGATATTGTCACTTGGCAGTGGAATCATGTGGATGAATCCTGCATGTCACTCTGTCCCTTTTGACTTTCACATGCAAGCGCGCTCATTGCGGCATCATTCGTGCGTAATCAGCTTGCTACCCTGTTGTTAAATTCCTTGCTTACTGCTCCAGTGTCCAAAGCTGCGTAACTCCAACCTGCTGCGCACACTCATGAAACCAGAGAGGAAGTCCACGAAGCACGGCGAAAGAGAGAGAGAGAGAGAAAGAGAGAGAGAGAGAGAGAAAAAAAAAAACAACTATAGATGTCTATATTGATTGATTGATGCTACAGTAGTTGTGTCGAGATATCAACTCGCAACTGCAGCGCAATGATCCTTTAATGTTGCTGACAATTCCAAACTCTTAGAAATCTTTGAACAGATGGTTGGGTCCAGACTTCATCCGGAACCTACAGATGTTCTATAATGGTAGTCTATAGTGTTTCCTTGTTGAGAGAATGCGGAAAAGTCCTTCTTTTGCTTTGCTCTTGAAGATCGACAACTTGAGGCGTGCTCACGTTTGTTCACTGAAACGGCAGCTGTTGCATCGTACCAAATTTTACCAAGGCAACTTGGCAAATTGCAGCAGTGGCATGCAGTGTCTGAAGAATTGGAGCGAGCCCGCACAACACGCCCTCCCAATGGTGTCTTGGGAGAACTTAGCAGGGTCGAGAACCCCAAAGTGTTGAAGCAACAATGCTTTTTCCTTGCGAGAACACGGGAGGTTTGGAGCTTTAAGAAATTTGGGGCTGTTTGTTCGGTTTTGGTCGCCAAAACTTTCGTAAGGGAAGGATGGCTTCCCCAAAACCAGGCTTTGGAGGTTGTTGAGATCAGAATTCTGTTCGGTCTTCTTTGCCTGCTGATGACTGGCGGACAAAAGGTGACCAAAGGTAACGTCAGCTATCTCAGTTTTCCCTGGTTTGCACATGTTCCTTTTCGGGGCAGATAAGGGCACGGCATGGACGTCTTGCAATTATGAAGGGATTCTTCTGGAGGGGGGCCTAAGTTGTTCACAGTTTCAAGTCCCGATTTGTTCATGCACCTTGCTGCTGCCAATTGGTAGGGTAGAAGTTGGAAGAGATTGTTGCATGATGTTGCATGCAATTTCCTGGGCGTCTCCTCTGCAGTCTCCTCGCTCTGCAGTGCAAGACTTCCATTTGGCAGGCCTTATTTTGCACACATCATAGCCATAGGCCTCATGCTCTTCATCGCCTTCATCATCGTCAGCCACATTGTCGTCATTATACAGCATATTGATATTCTTGGTTCAAATCATTGTTGTCCATTACTGTATCAAGATCATCATCATCACCATCATTATCAACAACATCGACATCGGCACCGGCATCATCATCATCATCATCATCATCCTCATCCTCATCCTTCATCTTCATCGTCATCTTCATCTTCATCCATCATCCATCATCCATCATCCATCATCATCATCATCATCATCGTAATCGTAATCGTCGCCAGCACTGCCAACATCATCACCATCATCATCGTCGTCATCATCATCGCCACCATCATGAGCACCAGCAGCATCCTTATCCGCATCTACATCCGCATCCCGATGTTTCTGCTTGTTCTCATCTCTTTTATCCACATTATACTCATAATTGCCTCTGCAATTCTGCATTTTGTTTGAGCATCATCCACATCAACAAATGAACCGGATGACATGAATGTTGCGCCGCCTGCTTTCCACAAAAGTGTGTCGGGTCGCTTGTATGCTCAGCTTTCATCACCTTCTGTCACAACATGTTGTAAAAAAGCGCAGCATGAACAGTACTTCCTTACACCCACATTATGACATGTTATCGATTGTTTCCATACACTAATTGAAGTTGCAGTGGTCTGACACCTCCACAGACTCCTGGACGATTGATTGATAGTTTTGATGGTTGATGGTTGATTTTCTGTTGCTAGCATATGCTTCCATAACTTATTGTACTACAGTATGTTTTGGCGAGTCACAATGACGTGCTCCCTTGATTTGCTTTCTCAACTCAGGTATTCTTGAAAGCGCTGCTATCAGACGCTTGACGTGAGCGGAATGGATGGGTCAGCAGTGTGAATCCAAATGGCATGCAATCTCGTTCACATGCTCTTGCATTAATGGCAATATAACATAATATAACTACCAAAACCCTACAAGGGCGCGCAAGACTTGAAGATGGATGCGTGTGAAAATCCATGTTCAAACAATGTTTTTCTGGGTTCCTGACGTTCCTACCCTCCTATAGTACACCAGTGGCTTTCGGCGATGCTGCATGCTTCAGAAGACATTTCACTAATTCCATTATGTAGGGGAGTATTATCAGACGTCTCATGAGTCTCATGCTCTCTGGCTGTTGGAAGTTCAGCTTAAGGCTTGGAATTTATCTTGAAAAGCAATGAAAAGCATAGGGTCTTCTTCGTACCATACACCGACCTATTCTCACAGACCTGTCAAGTGCTTTGATTTTGGTGACTTGTGTAAGCATGCAATGTCTCGTTGGGGGACATGGACTGTGACCGGCAGGGTTTCTCATGACTGCCACAAAGCATCAGAAACGTTCAGAAACTAATGGCGCACATTGGCTCCATGTGTTGCAAGTCTGCAGGCGCGTATGGGAGCTGTGCCCAGTGGCAACGTGCACTCAGCGTTTTGCGGGACATGCAAAGAGAAGACCTTGAGCATCTGGAATGCAAGAGCCGAGGGGTCGTTTGCAGGATGATAACTGCATCAACTGCCATGGCCAGACCCAGTTCCTTTGATCTCCGACCTTCAGCCCTTCAGCGCCACACTACCTGGCACCAAGATGTATAACAATAGCATGTATCCCTGACATTCCCTGACTACTTTGCCATCGCGTCATCGTGTTGTCAGCATTGATTCTATTTGATTCTAGTGTCTGTCCAGAAGGCCCAACGTCGTGAGCTTCAGTGCGGCAATGAGTGCTTGTGAAAAGGGGTGCCGCTGGGAGATTGCCATGTTGGGATCCCAGAGATTGGAGTGCTGTGCACATCGCAACGTATCATGGAATGAAGCATCAACTTCACAGTTTTCACGTTTTCTCACTATGTTGTTTCGCTCACTGTGGCCCAGGATCCTCTTGTCTCAGATGCCGGAGGCTCAGGTTCAGCCCAACGCCATTTCCTTTGGTGACCCATCTGCACTTGAATATTTTGCATTGTCCATCATGTTTCTTTCAGCTGATGTTTGTTTTCCATGTTTCTTTTCTTCGCATTAATTGTCCGACTACATATTTCAATCCAGTCTCTTTTTCGACAGACGTTGGGCCATTTTCTTGGTCTTCGCATTGTTCCCCATGCCGAGGAACTGCCTTGAGCTCGCTGGCAAAAGGCGAAGCTTGGGAAGAAGCACTGGAGCTACTATGTGAGCTGCCATATAGAGGCCCGGAATAGCTTGCCAAGAATTACATGGCATATCATGGCATGTTTACTTTTTGTTGCATATGATTCCTCCTATGGGAATGCTGATCCTGTCCGGCCAAGAGCTTGTTCATGAGATTAGTGCCGAATGATGCTTGTTTTCCTGAATTGTCCCGAATTCTTCTAGAAACTACAGAACAAAAAAGAAGGGAGCTTGTGTTGGCTCTGTCCTTTTGCATCACTCAAGCAGGCATCGAAACAGGCATGATCAGAAACCTGGTTGCACTGTGACAACGGTGGCTGGCTGCTATCAGTCCAGTTGGAGGAAATTGAACGAAGAAAGCTCCCACGTTTCGCACTGTCGCACCAGCGTGAATCATTGCAAAGATATTCCTCAAAAATGTTCAGTGTGGCATATAGCATGATGAGCCACATAGACTTGTAGGCTTTGTGAGTACGCCATTTCTATAGATAGAGAACTAATGTTGTTCATACAGGCGAGGGGCGTGTACTGTGGTGCTTTTTCGGAAAAGGAATCCATGGAGACACTTTTTTGTTTTAAGGCGAAACCGACAGCAGCAGTCACACTTTGGCCTGATACTTGAAGTGAGGTATCGATGTTGTTTTGGCACAAAGCAGTTTTGGTGAAGATGAGGCGTGAACGCTGCCTTGAGCGCTTGCGGCCGAGCCAGCAAATGGGCAGAGGCGGACAACGGGACTACCCAAAGGACTGATAGGAAAGTTGAATAGGGTCAGATTGCTTTTCTCTTTGGGACATCTACTTTGCATAGGGCCGGTTTTGTGCAGCTAGTGTTAGTGCTTTCAACAGTTGGAACAAAAGGCATAGGTTGTGGTGTTCGATGCATTGGAGAACGGTTTGCATGCTTTGACAATATTCAAGACTTGCAAGCATTTTCGAGGGTGATGATGGGAAATACTAAGGCCAGATAGATTGCTGATACTTGCCATGTTACGTGGACCAATGAAGCCAACATCAATCCTGGTCAATGCAGCAGACAATCATACATTCATACATCTGCGAGACGCCTGAGCTGGCTTGCATACAGGATGATCCGAATGACGCTTGGAGTTGCCATGACATAATGGGCTCAGGCCATAAATTTGCTCTTTGTGGCGCAAGCCACTACTTTGCAGCCCTCTCTGATCAGCACCTCGGAAAAGCCTTGACCACGGTGAATCACCATTCAGCAATCGCAACTTTGCACGGACACTTGCAGCGCACTTTTGCACTGAAATCTCTAAACTCAAGATAAGGTAAGGTCTGATGGCCAGGGCAGTTATATACTCTCCAGAATTCAGTAATATGCAGTATTTACATGTAATTACTACATTTGACATTATTTAACCTCCCGTAATTGCTTAGTGGCTTAGTACTTCTTGTATCGGATTTGCTGACGCTGTTCTGTGCTGTACTGCATGCCGCCGTCCCGTAGAGCTAGTTTCCTTGGCAAGGGCGGATTCCAGTGATCCCCAGGCTTCAGTGCTGCCATCAGCGCCTGCGAGCGGGGCAGTGAATGGGAATTTGCCCTTGGCCGCTCGGTTCACCTGGATGTGCGATATAATGGCGATATATAATATTAATTTATTTTTGCATATTATAAATTATTATAACACATTCATGTATTTATTTATACACAATCTCATGTATACAACCATATCCATGCATGCATTCTCCACAATTGTGCCCTTGCACAACGTTGCCAATTCCATCACTCATTCTCTATCAGATCCTTGAAATGATCGGCATTTTTTTGGTTACCCACGAGTTGCACTGTGAAGAGTCGGCAGCCTTGGTGACCGACAAACACCAAGAGACACCAAGGCCTTTTTCAGGAAATGCAATCCTTGTGGATCACTCCAAGCACCATCAGTGGCTTGGCCCAAGCCTTCAACTAGAGAGGAATTTGCACAGTGCAGCTCGCTAAATTCATCCAGCCTTTTGTTGCGGATCATTTGTTTGGTGCGCTAAAGATTGGGACACACGCAATGACATGCGCAAATACCGACATGCTCAAATGTGCAGCTCCTGCAAAGCAGGTTTTGGATTAATATGCCTTGTCTTGCCTTGTCCTGTTTTGTCCACTCTGCACAACCAGCGCGTGCATGTATGTAAAGATTAAGGGGGCACAGACTGTAGACACCTAATACAACTCAAACCTTCTGATATTCGCACGTGCAGCACATTTCCAATACTGGCACCAAGAGATTCGAATGACGCGTGGGGCCAAAGGGTAGCTTACGACCTGTTTTACAGTACAACCAGTGCTACACACAGTCATTCGATTCACGAAGAGATAGCAGGCTTGAGTGCGGCAATCAGTGCTTGTGAGAAAGGCAGTAACTGGCAATTGGCCTTGCATTTCTTGTCATTGACAAAGGCGACAGCTCCTTTTCATTGAATCAGTTTGATTGAATGCAGATGTGTATGGTTGTATTGCTATTGCACATGGACACTGCGAGACCGTGTGATGTGACTACCTGTGGTTTTGTTCCACAGACTGTGAGCAAGAAGCATGTTTCAAAAACCAGTCCTTTATCTCGCAATATCTAGATGTAGTCACTGTTTCGTCTTTCGGGTTGTTTATTTCCGAAAACCTACTGCCATGAACGGAAGAAAGAGACAAAAGAAGCAAAGAGCCCACGTGCCCACACATATCGACACATACAGTATATACAGTGATATACAGTGTATATGTATATCATATATACATATATATATATGAGTATGTTTGTAAATACACATATTTGTCTGTGCGTTTGTGTACAACAGTGCTTGTGTGTATGCATGCCTTGCTGTCCAACTGACGGCAGGCTGCGGACGTGATTTGCTGCAGTGCAGCCATTTCTGCCTGTGAGATGCTCGGTTTGGAATTCGTTTACTTGGTCAACTGGACATACACTGAGAGTCACGTAATCACTTTTCGTACGTTTTCGCGTAGTTTCATATATTTTCTTGTACCTGTGTACCACATTTAATCAATCTTGTGTTCAGTCTTGTCTAGTCAATCTGTGGTTGATTTCGACTGACAGGAAAGGGACTCAATGGTCAAAAGCTCTGGAAATTCTACACGGGATGCCTCTCAGGCAGCTTGAAATGATACTGTAGAGCCTGCGAAGTTTGGTGGAATTGGCGGCGGTTTGTCTGCATAGAAACCAAATGTTGTGGGTAGAGTTTGTTCTATCATATTCTATAAGTATGGTTTTTGCTGTGCGAAGCTTCCAGGCCTATGCTTCAGTGGGCTCGTCAACTCTCAAACAAAGTTATTAGGCTCGCGTGTCAGATTCCTGATAGAGCATTTTTGGATGCCAATGTGCTGTGTTCTACTGGGGGGTTGGTACCCCCCACATCATTTCAACTTCCGAACCCTGTCAACCTCAGCCTAAGAAGACAATAGATCAGTTCTTCTCAGGCGTCGTGCATGTTCACGGGCAAATGGAACTGCTGCTCTGGTTTCCTTCGTTTCTTTGACAGCTCAAGAAAAACCTTAATCCGAAAATGCAGTTGTCCCCTCTTCAAGTGAACGTTATGCAGGATAGCATCACGCATGTGTCAGTGCAAATGAACATTCTGTACGTTGCGTAGAATCGCTTCCGCGCGCATGTGTGTGTGTGTGAAACATCTCAATAGATCTAAAATATGTACCTTGATTGTTCCTAGTTGCGGGGGGCTGCAGGGAATGTCATAGTTCTGCAGCCAACGAAGACGGCTATGACATTCTGTGATATCGATCCGGGACGCTGGATCGGCGTACCTGCTTCAATTTTCATGTCAAATTTCTGTGATGGGCAGTGGCTAACCCAAGAACCACCTCGCCGTTTTTCAACAAGCATTTCACAGAGGCTTCAAATTCTTTTTTCATTCTTGCACGGTTGGCGCAATCTGAGACTGCGGTAAACTTCATGTCCAATTTATTTTCCGATATCTGAAATCAACCTTCACTTGGGGTATGGAAACTTACACTGGCTATGGCGATGGTAACTCCGACAACTTATTTGGCATCTATTTGGAACTCGAAAGGGAAGGGTCAGCTCCCAACTCCAATTTCTTCTCCGATCAGGATTTAGTGGGGTGTGTTTAGCACGTCCGACGCATTCCACATCAGAATTTGGTAAGATAGGCCTGTGCAAGTGTGTGACTCATGTCGGATTCGACGGGATGACATCAGCCCTTGGGGAATACCTTTAAAAGTAGGAAATGGGAACCGCCGATCTGACTCTGAATTTACAATTTTCAACCTATTAATTCGTCTAAGTAAAGTGGAACAGTTGGTTTTTTAAACTCTTCACCCTGTCGTTTGTCGTTGGTTGAACAACTGGCCGCAGTACCGGGCTTCGCCTTCTTTCGCTTTTCACACTGTCGTTTGTCGCTGGTTGAACAACTGGCCGCAGTACTGGGCTCCAATTCCTTTTGTCAGCCGTGTAATAAACCTCCTTGTTTTTCAACATTGCTCGAGAGGCAGGCCCCTGTCATGGCAACATGTTGACGATCTCAGGAAGGCACATGCCTTCAGGTGTGGTGACCTTTTTCCGTTTTCTTTTCATGGTCGTTGGTGAGGCTCAACTGTGCACCTAATTCAGCTGGGGATTACTGACAGCCGTCCATAGGGTTGAAATGGCTACGGAGGGCCTTGAGCCTCATCACGATCTTTGCATGAGCATGCGGATGCATCACTGTCATTAACTAGTTCCCCATTGGCCCCTATCTCATGCGTGCTCGCTCTCTAGGTCCGGTTTGGGTCCTTCGCGTGCCGAGGTAGGTTTGGCTCTCGCCTTGTAGGTTGTGTCAGGCGCTTCCGTCCGCCCCCCCTTCCTCTGGTCGGTGTTTGGCCCGTCGTCCGTCCGCTTGTTCTTTTCCCTTGCCCTTTCATGAGTTTGCCCGCTCTGGGCTAGGTGTGTTGGTGTTGGCTTTTTCCCTTTTTTCCTTTCCTCTTTTGCGTTCCCCGTCTCGTGTCCCGGTTAAGTAGTTTGTCATCTCATATCCATTTATCTTATCTCCATTTCCCTTTCTTCTTCACCTTCATCTCATCTAAATGCCCCGCTGCTGCGGGGTGCGTGTGTGAAACATCTCAATAGATGTAAAACTTGTACCTTGGTTGTTCTTAGTTGCGGTGGGCTGCAGGGAATTTCATAGTTCTGCAGCCAACGAAGACGGCTATGACATTCTGTGATATCGATCCGGGACGCTGGATCGGCGTACCTGCTTCAATTTTCATGTCAAATTTCTGTGATGGGCAGTGGCTAACCCAAGAAC